ACCTCAGGTCACAGTAGAAGAAAGGAGCTGGGTGTAGCACTATGAGTTACCTCAGCTATAGGAGTTATTTACTTTCCTGTTACTGGTGTAGCAAATTACTCCAAACTTAGTGGTTTAAAATAATGCAAATTTGTCATCTCACAGTTTTGGAGGTTAGAAGTCAGAAAGGGGTCTCACTGAGCTAAAATCAGTCTCTTGGCAGGGCTGTGTTCCTTTTGGAGGTTCTAGGGGAGAATTCTTTTTCTTTCTTTCACCAGCTTCTAGAGGCCACCTGCATTCCTTGACTCGTGGCCTCCTTCCTCTATCCTCAAAGCCAGCAACGTTGGGTTGATTCCTTTTCACGCTGCCATCTCTTTGGTTCTCTCTTTGGAAAGCTGATTAGCAACCTTAATTCCATGTGCAACCTTAATTGTACGTACCTGAACATAGGTGCCAGAGACTAGAACGTGGATATCTTTTTTTTTTTTTCGTGGATATCTTTGACAGGCCATTTTTCTGTCTAACCTAGAATGTTAGGTCTGCAGGTGGCTCTGCACAGACAGGGCCCCCAGAGCCCTTCTGGAGAAGTTGCTTAGAGTCCTAGAAGATGAGATACACGGAGGGTTTCACAAAACCTGCTGATTTGCCTCAGGTGATTTCAAGTGGCAATAAGTTTTATGGTGAAAATAAAACAATAGAGCACAGAGAGATGGGAAAGGGAAGTATTTAAGCAGATGCTCGGGGAATGTCTCTCTCAAGTGGCGATGGGTGGGCTAAGACCTGAATGATGAGGATGCAATCATACCCAGATCCAGGAAAGGCCAGGCCAAGTATAATGAGCAGTAGCACCAAGGAAAGGCTGGTGGTGTCTGGGGTTTAGCTCCCTCGAAACATCTTAAATAAGTTCAGTGAGTTCACTATTCAAACTCAGCTCTAAATGTCTCCTACCCAGTTCCCTCTTCCAACTAGATCTATCCTCCTAAATTCCTCCTGCAGAGAAATTCTGGGGTGCCACTGCAGAAAAACAGGTACAAAGTTTCTGAAGACTGAGGAACAGAAGGAAGGGTAGTGTAGGAGGCGAAGGGTGGTAGATTGTTCTAGTAATGTACCCCAGTGAGTCAGGCTTCTCTGTGTTCATAGCCTTTACAATTGATCTTCATGCCCCTTGTATCAAGAGGCAGTGTGTATTTCTCTACTCCCATCAATCTGGTCTGGCTGTGTGATTTGCTTTGATCAGTACAATATGGCAGCAGTGATGTACAAATTCTAGAGCCTAGACCTCAAGAAGACTTGAGGCTTTGCTATCGCCCTTTTGGAACATGAAGCGGGGAGGTCACAGGGACCAGACTATGTAAAGGCTTATTAACATGGTAAGGAATATGGACTTTGTTCTAAGTGCTCTGTGGGTTCTAGAAGGTTTTAATTAATAAGTGTTATGCTTCAGAAGATCACACTGGGTGCTCTGTGGAGGAAAGATTGCAGTTGGGCAAGGATGGAAGCTGCGGGGCCAGTGGGAGGTTTTTTGAGGCATCCAGACAAGAGATGGTAGCAATGGAGGTGGAAAATAGTGGACAGATTCGGGTCCTGCTAATGGATTGGCTTGGGAAGAAAATAGTGAATAACAGTCTTCTTTCTAAAAATGAAAGGCTACATAAATACATGTAGAATACAGTTATAAACTTTAAAAAATCTAATAGATTAATTATATAAATCTGTATGTTGGATGTGACCATTTCCTCCTGTAAGACTGGGCAGCAGAGAAAACCAGAAGGGAAAAAACAACTATGAAGTGAAAACACAGAGGAGAGCAGGGGTCGGAAATGAGGTGTGAGCAGTAAAATGTTTCTGCTTCTCACCTGCACCCCACCCACCTCCTGGACCTTTCCCTTGGGTTATGAGAGAGACCCCTGTATACTTAGACCAGCCCCACCCCCTTCCCTTTAAACAGCTCTAAAGGTATCTATTTCATGAAGGTACAAGTCCAAATAAATACCAAGGAACATAACATACCCTTTGGCATCCTTACCCCTAATCTAGGACTCATTCACCTTATTGTTTAAACTAAATAGTAAAGGGTTTACCACATGTGGGCACTAAACCTAGCAGAGAAAATACAGCCTGCAGTGGAGGTGAAGGAGCTGGGTTCTAGTTTTGCTTCTGCCAGTGTCTTTCATGTGATTTTGGATAAGGTATGTCAGGGCTCTGGGCCTATTCTGTCATTCAACTGTCTTGCTGTGACTGAGATAGGCAAAGCATTAAGGCACGGCCAAAGGAAAAAGTTACAAAATTTCAAGCCCAGAATTCCCATTTTTTGTAGAGCTCCTTAAAGTTGCAAGTCTTCAGATTTTGTCTCACTGAGTACTCGTTACAAAAATGTAAACTTTGGAGCTAACTGCTCAGGAAAAACTCATGCGGAGGGAAGTTCTTTTCTTTCTTTTATTCCTTCCCTACCTTCTTTTAATTTCATTGTAGAGTGACATATATTTTCCCACTGGATTAAAAAAATAAATAACGAAGACAATATGTCATAATAAAAGGCCTATAAGTTGCCTTCTTTAATCCTTTCCTTATATCCACCCATATAAGCACTCTTCGTTGTCCATTATCTCAATAATCAAGTGTGGTGACCAGCCATGGGGATGTGAAACCAGGCCAGAGAAAATCTTTACTTAGTTATCTTAATGGCTGTATGGGGAGGTATTGGTGGGGCTAGCTGGTCTCCCAATGTCACTGTAATAGCTGCTGCACATAGCAGGTTATTATGAAGTAGAATGTATGATTTCAAAGGACAGAGCTTCGAAGCTTGAAAGAAGTGCTTGACTTTCAGTTGTACATAAAGATAGAGAACATATGACTCTACCGCACCAGGAAATGATGTTCACTCAGAGACTGACAATAACATCTAAGTAACGCAATGTCATAACTGGTCATTATCTGTACAACCATAGGAAGTTCCACACGGTTCTCAGTCTATAGATTCCTAACTGTAATATATTCAGATTTATTAGTTGAGATCTGGAAACAATGCATCTGACAGAACAAACAGATTAAGCAGTGGAAACATAAATTTCTCAGTTCAGTAAAATAAACTTACACAGGCTCTATAGCCAAAGTTGCACATTCTTTCTTTGGAATGTTAGTTCTGAAATGGCATTTTATTTTTAAATAATTGAAAATTCCATTACCTTACAAACCACAGAAATACACTTACAATATTTAATTCTGCCGCTTGGTGGTGCCATGGATAACTAATAATAATAATTTTAAAAAAATTCTGCAAGTTTGCTGGACAGCAGGACTTGGCTATTAGCAAATTGAAAAATATAATTAACATTTTTAAAAGTCTGTAATCCTTTTACACATTATAATGGCTGAAAAGTGCATATGGGCTCAGGCTTTCACTATAAAATCCCAGGCTTACTCATAGTCAAACAAGAAACCAGGATAGTTTTTTTAATCATGGAAAATTTCAAGTATTCTAAAATGCCAAAATAACTAACATCCCTGTCCCTATTACCTGGATAATCAATGTTAACATCCTGTCACATTTACTTGAAAAAAATTAAATGAAAATGAAGTTTATGCTCCTTTGTTCTTTTTCATTCCCCCCTTTTTTTTTCTCACTAGAGGCAATCACAACCCAGAATTTGATGTGTATCCTTCCAGTTCTTGTTTCTCTTTTTTTAGTACCTGTTCATGTGTCCATGAGCAGTACAAATGTTGCTTCATATTTTTTAAATGTATCTTTTCGTGCTGTAGTATATATACTGCAATTTGCTTTTTACATTTAACAGTGTTTTGTCATGTTGATATATATATATATGCCGATATATACAGATCTAGGTTATGAGTTTTAAACTGCTGTGTTGTAATTTATGGCAAACATATATTCTGAATTTATTTATACATTCCTCTATGAACATTTCAATGTTGCAATAAATGCAATGCTTAGAATAGCTAACATATAATACGTCCTCAAAACATATTTAATGAATGAAGCGGCATGAAATGTTTCAGGCAGACTATTTTTTGCTTCAATCGTCCAGTTATTTGTCCTTAACGTCCACTCTCTCTGCCTGAGCGACAGGGGTCATTCCCTGAAATTTCCTAAAGGTTTGTTTCCCAGTCCACTGAGAAAAGGCTCTGATGTAGTCCCCGTATGGTGGCAGGGGTGGGCGAATGGAGTGGGTAGAGAATGGACACAAAGACATCTCAGTGTCAAAATATAAGACAATGGAGGTTTGTCTGGTCTGGAACAGGGGAGGGTGGCAGCAGCGAGCGTTATAAATTTGGGGGAGGTCTGAGAGTTTACAATGCAGGGCATGTCCGGGGCTACCATATCCGGAAAACGAGGTAGCAGAATATAGAGGTCTTTCAGTGCACCTTCTGAAAGACGTAACCATCAAACGTCAGACGGTTGCCATGGGAACCAGCGGGGGAGGGCGGTGTGTCCGGCCAGAATTCTTGATGCGCTTAGGATGTTTCTTCTTCCGGTCCTCGGTTCTTCACAACCACCGCCCCTCTCCACCGTCCCCCGCCCATTCTGTGGGCTCTCATCATTCTCTTCCCCTTTTCATTCTCTCCTTCCCTGTTCTAGGCCGCCATCTTGGACCATGCGTCAAGATGGCGCCCCCCAGTCCCAGAGGCAGAGCCCAGGAGCGCCGGGGAGCCTGCGCGCGCACGTGCTCGGGCGCGGAAGGGTGGGGGCCGTGATGTCAAGACGTTGCCCCGCCCCCGGTGGTCGCTCCGCCCCCGGCCCCACTCCGCCTTCCTCTCACCGGGCGAACCCGGAAGTGGAGGAGGAGGTGCGGCGGTGGTGGCAGAGTGGGCAGGCGCTGGCGGAACCGTACCAGGCAGCGTGTCTGGGGTTGGGGGCGAGGGGGCGGGGCTGAGCGGCCTGGGCATCCTGGCCTGGACGGGGCGGGGGAGGCCATGGCCTCGGCAGAGTTGCAGGGGAAATACCAGAAGCTGGCTCAGGAGTATTCGAAGGTACCCGTCGTATGCGGGGAGTAGGGGGTCCCCGGCCCTGCGGCCTCGGGTTGCCTTGGCAGCGACTTGTCGGGACACAGGGGGACGGCGGAGGGGGGAACGTGAGCGCGCCCCTTCTCTCTCCTCCGCCTCTTCTGTCCACCATTACCGTGCCTTCACCTGCAGCTCTCAGGAGATGGGGCCGGGCGGTGTCTGGGTCCGTGTGCGTTTCTGCGGGAAGGAGCAGGAGTTTGATTCTTCCTTCTCACTGAACTAGCGGGCTTGGACTGGGATGTCAGAAATCCTGGTTTCCGCCTCTGGTGCTGGTCGGGAGGGGACGGGGAAAGGTGAGGACCATCCCTCCACGGCTGCTTCCTCAATTTTCCCAGCCCAGCAATGGGAAGGATCAAGTTTTCTCCTTTCCCACAGGGATGATATGAGGATAAAGAGATTTATCAGCCCCCAGTCAAGTCAGGAGTGTAAATAGAGTCATGCGTGTAAACTGCTTCACCAGAGATGGGTGGTTATGAATGGGTTCAGTGCTTTGGCAAGATGTTGTCTGAAAATGAGTTTGAATGACTAGGGCTTGAGTGCTAGGGCTGTGTCCTTTTATCTCTCTGTTTCTTGGATCACCTGGACTGGGGAAGAGCACCCAGCAGGTGCTCAATACATGTTGAATTAAGCAAAGTAGGGACCTGTCCCTTTGTTGTATTTATGGCATCAGTATTTTAAACGATGGAACCCTTTTCTCCGAGAAGGGTGGTGCTGCTTTAATGGGTAGGGTGGTTCTGCCTCAAGAATATTCTAATGAAGTACTGAAAGCAGAATCTTACATTTTTGGAAATTGATTCATTAGTCATTAAACTTCATTTTCAGTGATCTTGGTATTCATGGGAGCAACTGGAAGACTTAGTCCCTTTTTTACAATTTGGAGAAACTGAGACACATTTTTAAATTTCATGTAACAAATATGCAGCAGGGCAAAATGAAATATTCTTTGAAAAATAAAACCTGTGCCTAAACATACACACGTAAGTCTTTTGACTGTCAAATGGGAGCCTTTTGGGATGCTACACTTATTCCATGGGTGCTACCATTGGCAAAACGTCTTGTGTTTCCATATGAATTTGCCTTAAGGGCCTGTGGCATCATGTTAGTGATGGCAAGTTTTTATCCTTTGAAGGAATATTTTTTTGTTTGAAAGGGCCAGAACTTATTTGGAACAAATCCATGTGATGAAGTGTGGTGGGTGGAGGATGACAGTACTCAAACTTGGCTCTACTATTTTTGGGTGAAAATGTTTCATGAGTATAAAGTAAGGGGACTGATTTTCTCTTCTGGAGAGTAAACAAGCTCACAAGGCAATTCCAAATGGCAGAAGAGTTTCCAGAAATATTTTGCACAGTGATTGCATTGCTGAAATAATTGTACAGCCTCCCAGAAGTAATAAAAACTTTGAAAGATTTTATTATTTTGGATTTGTAAGCTCTTTTGTTCAGCAGACAATTAGTGCCACCTGTGAACAATCTGCCGGGCCCTGTTGAGTGAGGCAGAGTTCCACCTTAAGGAGAACCCTTTAATAGAATGTTCATCTATTGTACATAATTATGATACGGGATGACAAGTGTTAGCTCAGTGGGAGCACAGAAGAAACGGTGGGTAAGGGTAGAAGTTACTTAGATTGGGGAGTAGGGAATAGGGAGGAAGGGATGGATGGTAGTACTCCAGGCAAAGGAGACAGTCTCTGTTTGCTGACATGAAGGCATGTTCAGATACACGACAGAGAGTGGTGAAATATGGTTGGAGGGATAATTTGGACCCGATCATGAAGGGTTGTGTTTGTCAAAAAGTTTGAACTTTGAGTAATGGAGAGACGTTAAAGGTTTTCGAACAGGAGAGTGACATTGCTTTTAGAAAGAAAACTGGTAGCTGTGTGGAGGATGGACTGAAATGGGGAAAGATTGGTGAAAAGAAACCAGACTGGAGGCTCTTTGAATAATTTTGGGGAGTGTAACGTAGGATTAAATAAAGTTTTGTGGCTGTTGAGACGGAGAAGGGGGGCTTAGATTTAGGAATTATGGTTAAAAAATATGGTTTAGTTTACTTCTTTTTTGTGTGCCTGCTTTACACATAGCAGCAACCTTATGAAGGATATAAAGGTGTCAAGGCAGTCATCCTTGTGTCTCATTCATTCTGTGGGATGTGATGAGTGAGGGAAGACTGAGAGTTGACCCTGAAGGTGACCCGTGGACTGCTCTGAGGGAACACCACTGCCACTGGCAGAGGAAGGTGGGCAGAAAGGTGAGCCAGTTTGGAGCGAAGTTTAGGTGCAATCATAGTATTTATGGTTGGAAGGTACATTGAAGCTATCTTATTCACACAGTAGCTTGAGATGATGTTGGGGTAATTGCTGAAAATTTCTAGTGGAGAGGGACTGGCTGAAAGTCAGGACAAAGGCCAAAGCTTTTGTAATAATTCCCATAAAGACAATAGTTCCTATAAAGACAGTAGTTGAACTTTGAGAGTTAATCACTTTAGGTAGATTCTTTGGGGAACACCTGTGGGAGGGATGTGACAGTAGGAGGAAATGCTGAGGAGACTATAGGAGGTCTGCCAGACTTCAGGTTATCTCCCATATTGGGACAGACCATTTTTCATCCTTTTAATTGCAGTGTGATGGAAATTTCAGAATGTGAGAACACGGATTGGTCAAAAGATTTCATGTGCTTTTTATTGCCTGTCAGTTCTAGTGCCAAGCAATTTCTAGATAAGATCTATGCTATCGATACCTTCAGCCCTGTGCCTATGGAAGGGGGTATTCTACCTTTTTGATAGCTTCCCTGGTGCAGAAATTGTGGGCTGATGTTGAAATCCAGTTACATCTTTCTTTTTCCTTATTTAGGATACAAAGGAAAAAGATTTCCTTTTAATATGTAGAAGGAGGCCTGCAAATCAAGAGAGCAGCAAGCATGATCCCTAAACCAAGGACATTTGCAGAATCTTCTCATTCTTATTTAATGCAGATCTTGGCCTGTGTTCTGGGAAGGGGCCCATTTCTTCCTTTGTAACTTCTATCATCATCTTTTTTCCCCCTGAGAAGGAAAAAAGCTGTATGAGGAGCTCCCATTAAAGAGACTGAGAGTTTCCTTAGATAAAAGATGAACCATGGAGGCCGAAGCAGGTGAGAATTTCTGAGGTGGACAGGTTGCTGAAACTGTGTTATGGAAAGGTCAGTAAAAGTGGAGATTAAGACCCTCTGGTTTGGGCAATTAGGCGATCACTGGAGGCTTTAAACATTTCTGGTTTAACAGTTTGGGGGAGGGGAATGGTATGTAGAAGCTGGTTTTCAGAGATTTATGAAGTTAATAGGTAATAGACGGAGGCTGCCCCTTTGAGACGTGAGGGAAAGTTAATCAAGCCCTCATTTTTCAAAGACCATTTCTTACTTGGTGTTTCTTCCACGGCCTGCTCTGCTTCTGATGCTCTGGTATATCTCATTCTGGAGATGAGGCTGAGAGCATGCAGTCCTGGCTCATTTGATTTCAGCCTGCTTTCCCTGAATGGGCTTCTGCACTCTTGCCTGGCACCATGTTAACGTGTAGGCAAGTTTGAAGTTCTAATCTTTCCAGTGTTTGTGTTACTCTGGGTTCTCAAAGTGTAGACCCTGGATCAGCATCATCAGTGGCTGGGAATGGGTTAGAAATACAAATTCTTAGGTCTACCCAGGACTTACTGAATCTGAAACTGGTGGTCAGACCCAGCAGTCTGTGTTGTAACAAACCTCTCCAGTCATTTGGATGCATACCAGAATCATTGCTCAGGAAATGGTATCAGTATAGTAGCTTTTGCTCAGATGATCTTCTTAAAGCTCTTTTCAAGGCAATAAAAGCCAATGGGGGGACTTCCCTGATGGTCCAGTGAGTAAGACTCCACGCTCCCAATGCAGGCGGCCTGGGTTCGATCCCTGGCCAGGGAACTAGATCCCACATGCTGCAACTAAAGATCCCGAGTGCCGCAAGGAAGATCCTGCATGCGGCAACGAAGATCCCATGTGCCACAACTAAGACCTGGCACAGCCAAGTAAATAAATAAATAGTAAAAAAAAAAAACGCTACAGTAATCAAAACAACGTGATACTGGCAAAAAAAAAAAAAGCCAATGGGAAAGGTAAACATCCATTATTTCTCTAACAGTTGACTTTGCAATTGATGCTTCTTTAATTACAAAGGAGATTGCCTTTTGAAACTTTTTAGACTTATACTCTTAGAGATGCTCATTTTGGGAAAGGTTCAGTCTTGATTTGGTGTGTTTGCTTTCCAGATAGCAGGGCTTGGCTGAACCTGATTGATCACCCTCTCTTGTAAGAGAAATAGACTCTGGGGCTGGATTGGATTAAAATGGAGTATCACCTTTTTTCTACCCTGATGTAGGGTTCACTACTAAAGGTGGATTGGAAAACGGTCTGTGTTCAGTGCTATCCAGGGGAACTTTCAGGAGAATGAGAACGTTCTGCATATTTGCTGTCCAGTAGGGTGACCACTAGCATGTGGGCTATTGAGTACTTGAGATGTGGCTAGCTGAGCTGAGGAAATGAATTTTGGATTTTATTTACGTAATTTAAGTTTAAATAGGCACATGTGGATATGGCTACCCTGTTGAGCTGTGCTAGCTTAGCCCCTAGATCATCACAAACGTAAGTGTCTATGTGACTCACCTGAAGACCTTGTTAAACTGCAGATCCTTTCTCAGGAGGTCTGGGGTGGGGCCTGAGATTCTGCTCCTAGGTGATGCTGCTGCAGCTGTCCGCAGACCGTACTTTGAATAGCAAGGCAAGTGGTGTCCTACTCTCCGTCTTCAATTCAGCTGAATTTCCAACCAGTCCCTGGTGAGGCAGCTAGATTACAGGATTGGGAGTGGGGGTTTCGTCCTAATGAATTTCCTTGCATGGGAGCAGGAGCTAGAGAAAGGGTCTTGTTTGAGGGCAGCTCTGTAAAAAGGTTTTCTTCGCAACTCAGTGACAAAATGACCCCAGCCATTAGTACATAGTATGTAGCCTTCAGTTACTTTATCCTTTTCCACTGCGAGGAGCAAGTTAGTAGGCGGAGAGAAAGACTAAGTGGTATTCCCAGCACTGTAGAATACCTAGAACTGGGAGTGTTTTTAAGGATGATCCAGGCCAGAGATACTGAAGCTGTGGTTTGCAGATGACTCAGGTGTGCTGAAATCAGGGTTTTGGTGAGGCTTAGGAATGGGCTTCAGGTTATCTGCTGCATACATTACTTTGTAATGGAGAAAAGCTATACATCTAGAGATTTGTTTTATAGGGTCATAAAACGTGTATAAATGTCAGAATGTCCACTGTATGGAAAGTTATCTAAGAGTGATTCTAACACAGAAGATTCTAGCTTTCTCTTATAGTTGTTTAATGTGTTGCATTTAAACACCTTTTATTTACACCACTTAATTTGATTAATTAACTAAAAATTTATTGAGTGCCTTCTCTATCCATAGCATTGATCTTTCATTGTATGCAGGAGATACAAGGAAGTATACTGTAGTCTCTATTGTGAAGGACAGTTTAATTGGCACATGGGACTTGAGTATAGAAATCATACATAAATTAGTAAACATAAAATGTACTGCTTTAAAAAGTAAAATTAAAACTGAACAGTTTAAATAAGAGATGTCTTATTACTAGCAAGTGCCCAGGGAACTGAGGGCAAGGTCACTGTGGACCATAGGGGCACTATAGAGAATGGTTAGGGAAAGTTTATGGAAGAAGTAGGACCAGAGTAGGAAGTAGGCTCTAGAAGAACAGTTGGGGTTTGGTTGGTCAAAATGAGAAAAGGCTGTGTTTTCAGAGTAAAGGTGAAGCTAATCAAAAGATTACAACACAATGAAAAATGAGGTTTGAAAAGGACTAAGGGTTTCTGGGTTGGGATTCAGAGGACCATTTCTCTACTGAATGGAACAAAAGTGCATGGCACAGCTGCTGGAAATAGGCTATGTCACCTTCTGGAGAATTTTTCTGTCCTAGTGGAGACTTCAGGGCAATTGTTTCTCAGTTACATCCACATCCACTGGAGTCTCCACACTAGTCTCCTAGAGGCATTAGAGACCATCGGTAACTGTTTCTGAAACAAACACTGCATTTGCCTCCCACTGTGGTGAACGCTGGTGAGGAGAAAGATAAGATTCTAAAAGACCAGACTGGTCACAGCAGTATCCACATTTGACAAGATGTTGGTCAGTAATGCAGAGATGTGGCAGTAGTGATGCTGAAATGCAGGAAGATGCCAAATGCCAAGTGCAGGTAACAAGGCAGTGGAGTAGGCCAAGCTTATCCTTTTCTACCTACCAAACAATAGAAAGGGATTTTCGATAAATACTTCTAAAAGCTGCATTTTCTGTTGAATGTTTCCATTGAAACTGTGTTTGAATTGTTACCAATTTAGCAAACAATATTTTCCAAAGGAAAATCGAAATCATTTTTCATTATAATCAGATTAAGTTCCAAACAGCAGTAATTTGAAAACTTTAATTTTGCTTTTATGACACAGTAGGCTGTTCAGTTTGCTTTATGTAGCTTATAAGTGTGCCTTAAAAATTAAAGGTGAGGGTTTTTTTTTGTTTGTTTGAAAACTGATGTAGTTCTGGTCCTACAGAAAATTGTCAGTTCAGCAGATTTCAGGCTTCATCCCTAGTCCTTGAGGCAGTCATTAGGACCTTCTAAATACCACATAAAGAAGATCAGAGAGCAAAGTTAGAACAGGGGTATGAAATGAAACCTAAAGACTGAAGTAGTATCGCTGTCCTTTGGCTATATGGATTTGAAAGTATTTCTTGAATTCTCTTACCTAGGTAGCACATTATCCAAGAATATGTTGATATTGCTTAAAAGGTAAAATACTACACAATGGAAGTCAACATTAAAGTGGTATTTATTTCTCTCTTCTGAACTTCTAGAGCAGAGTGTAAAGAGCCTAATAGCAAATATTTTAGGCTTGGGGCCATATGGTTTCTGTTGCATCTACTCATCTCTAATGTCATTGTCACACAAAAACAATCATAGATAATTCATAAATATTCAAATATTCCTACTCTTCTGGCATAGAAAAAAGTCATTTCTGTTCTCAGGAGACAGATGTGAGCTATGCAGAACTAGAAGTAGATTTTTTTTTAAGCTCATAGATAAAATTCTCCCATTCATTTAGTTTCTCAGAGAAGAACCTGGTCTATCATGGTCTCTGTACTGAGTCCTCAGAAAATTAGTCTGTAACCCTTTTGCTTCAGCTACACTGGGCTGGTATATTTATACTCACATGCTCTGTGTTGTGCTTGCTGATAACTACAGAAGGTTTATCTTTCAAAACCCTGCTGGTGGTGGTGATATAGATGTATACCTAAGTAGAAATTCATCAAGCTGTATAATTTCTGTTTTGTATATTTTATTTAAAATAAAGTTAGACCTCAATTAAAAAAAAAAAAACTGTGAAAGAAGCCCAAGTCCTACCTCTTCAAAGGCTTGTGTCACCTCTCCAGCCCACTACTTTTCTCATTTATATGTAGCTTTATAAAATAGTAGCCAATATTGTCTAATGACATTATGCCTGGAGTCAAAACTGCTGCTTTCTGAATCTCAGCATTGCCACTGAACTTCTCTGTACCTTGGTTTCATCTGTAAAATGGCGATAATTATAGCACCTATTTCATAGGGTTGTGAGGATTAATGAGGTAGTGTATGTAAAGTATTTAGGACAGTGCCTGGTATGTAACGGAGCATTCAAATGCTAGCTGCTATTATTATCAATTTCTAAATTGAGCTTGCTTCTTAGTTGCTTTTGAACACTGCTTCCACTGATGCCTGATTAAAAGTCCTCCATTCCTGAGGCTATTGCGGGCGATGATATTTGCATGACTAATATTAGGCACAGTGTACTGCTGGGTATGTTGACGCCCTATACTTTGATTTTCTGTTGAATTCTTATTCCATAATCAGTCCAGTTGTATGTATTTTACAGATGAATGGTGTGTCAGAGTTTCAAGGAAAATGACATACTCAGTACCCTATTATCTATTGTATTAGTTTTTATTTAGGGAGGTGATTGGTTTCATAGAAAGAACCATGTGCGGGAAGTCGAGAGACCTGGGCTTTAGTCTCAGTTTTGCATTGATTAGTTTTATGTCATTGGGCAGCTCAGCCTCTGTGTCCTTATTTGTAAAATGGCAGACTGATGATCTCTACTGTTCCCTTCCGGGCTAATGTTCTTGTTCTCATATATATGTGAGCAGATACTCAGCGTACTGATTCCTGTAAAGTTAGGGTAAGTGATTTCCTTGCTATAAGTGATTGCTTTATATTAAAAATTAATTATTACCTCCTCTGTTTTCAGCTTCGGGCTCAGAATCAGGTCTTGAAAAAAGGTGTCGTGGATGAACAAGCAAATTCTGCTGCTTTAAAGGTAGGCTACAGGGTATTTTGTGTTGTGAGGGTTAGGTTAGTGTTTGGTGAAGCTCACAGCAGGGAATTCAGCTCAGTTTTCTGGGTTAAATTCCCAACTCTGACAGTGACTCACTAGGAATAGGGGAGGGTAATAGAGTTTTTTGGTGTTTAACTTTCCTACTTGCTTAGGTATGAATGTGATGTGCTTTGACTTCCTTAGCTAGAAATTACAAAAATGTATTATTGGACTGTGTGTAGTGCATTTCTCTCATACCTTGCTTCTCTCATAGCTAAATTCATCAGGATTAATGGGGCTTATTATCTGGCTTCATCTGATAGCACTCTGTGGGGCTGTGTCATATTCATGTTTATATCCCTAGCATTCAGCCGATGGTTGTCCCCTACTAAATGGATTTGAAAGTGTGAATCATTTAGTCCATCAATCTTGCTTTGAGGTCGAGCTGTTTAATAGTAATAACCTGTGTTAATGAGGACTGTTTGAGTGATACATCTTACCATCAGCACCTTTAACTGAGAGGAGAAATATGGTGGGAGTTGCAGGAATATGTTTCTACCTCATTTTAGTAGGCATATAATAAGTACTGCTTAGTGATATTTTTAATTGGAAAAATTCATTCGAGGATATGGATTCCTTCTTGGCCAAGCTTCAGTTAATACTGCCTACTTCATTCTTTCGCTCTCTCCCTTGCTTCCTCTTTAGAGAAAAGGGCTTAAGATTCCCTTTACTCTTCTCTCTTTCTGGAGTAGGCCCCAACCAGTGACATATCCTGAGAATTTCCACTCAGGTCTCCAAGACCCAGAGATACGTCCTTTCACGTGGCTGGTGTTGGATCCTCCACTAGAGAAATCTGTGTCTTGAGGGCGCTCCCTCCTCAGGTGCTGTTCCACAGACTCAGGGCTGAGATAGTTCAGAGCATCTTACCCATACTCCCAAAGCTCTCTGCGCCCAAGCTGAGATGATTAAAAATAAGCTTTAAAGTCAGGATATGTTAGCCAAGTTATTATTTTGCCTAAATCACTGAAGAAATGATTATTATCTCTCCTCATGATGTTTAAAACCTATTACTGGGGAAGTATTTCCTAGCTCGTCTTAGTAGCCCACTCTGGTGTTTGACACCCTCCTGTTGCTGGTTGTGTCCAATTAACCCTGTGATAGTGGCCGTGGTGGCAATAGCAGGCTCTATTTATTGAGCACCCACTGTGTGTCAGGCATTACGCTAGCACATTACATCCATTATCTCAGTTTTCACAACAGCTCTGTGAGGGCAGACGCCACTATTATCGTCCTCATTGCAGAAACTAGGGTTTACAGAGAGATTGGGATGGATGTCTTCTGAAATTACTGATTGGTTAATGGAGTTGGAACATTAGTCAACTAGTGATTAACTAATTATAAGGATGTAAAGAAATTACTTTATGTTTTACTATTCATCACAGTGGTCATTAAAATCATAGTGAGAATGACAGTTTGCCAGTTTGCTCAATGGGAATGTTAGGATGTCTGTGTTAGAGTAGGCATTTGATTATATTGGGTTTGTCTCTTCAATGAGTTGTTAGATACAGTAAGCATTCATTGATTTGAATTTCTGTAATTTGAAACATATAGTAATTTGGACATGGGCTGAGCCTAAGTTTACCATTGAACTTCAGGTAAAAATTAAGGACTTACTAAACAAACAACAGAAAAGGAAAATGTTTTTCTCTTTAATGAACACATATGCTATCCCTCTAGCTGTGCCCTCAACATGCAAATAATGTCAATAGATTGCAGACACCAGCCTCTGGTTTTTAGGTTGCTGTTTCAATATCCTTAAATCCCCTGTTCATTAAAACTTGACCTCTTAGCTTTATAGTGGTTTTTCAATGAAAGTAATAAAAGCACAGATCTTTCAGTATATGGTAGTATATGGCCATCTGTGTTTGATTACCAGTGAACGCAAAGTTGTCAGAACGTTGTAAGGAAAATATAGTTAGAATAATTTTTTTTTTTTTTTTGCCACGCTGCGTGGCATATGGGATCTTAATTCCCCAACCAGGGATCAAACCCATACCCCCTGCATTGGAAGCACAGAGTCTTAACCACTGGACTGCCAGGGAAGCCCCAGAATAATATTTTTTTTAAAAAATAGAGTGAAACTAAATATTTCTCTTGTTTCCCATTTTCTTACCCTTACCATGGTATAAGCAGTACAGAATGGTCAGTAGAAGATGTGTTGTTTAGATTTTGTTGCTATTTTCATTTTAAGACATCTGAAACTATTCTTGTGGTAGGATAATATTGATTTTTATCTTTGACAAATCAGAATAATTTAAAGTGTATTAAAAAGACTTTATTTCGACTGACTTAAATTCAAGGAGGATTTATGGGAAATAGTGAATACAAATATATTTCTTCCATTCTTGCTTACTAAAGGGCATCATCAGGAGTCTGAGGTTCTCTTTAAGCTTTCAAGTTTATAAAATTGTAGTCTCAGACTTTGTGTCTCCTCACTGCCAGACACAAGTATAAGAACATTACATAACAACACATAGTTGTGGATATTTTACTCTAGGTCGATGACTGTTACTTCAGTATATATACTCCTTTAGTTTTATTTTTAAATACGCTTGGTTTGGCCAGAAAATGATTTTGCCACAAAACAGACCTAAAAACATAGGAACTGTAATGATAAACATACAACTTGAATTCCTTAAAGCAAGAGGTTTTGATTATATTTTGGTGAAAGAAAAAATATTTTTTTTCCATTATTTTTAAATGTTAAGGCTAAATTACAAGGAATGGTCTCTTTTCACTTTGATGTAGGAACAACTGAAAATGAAGGATCAATCACTGAGAAAACTACAGCAGGAAATGGACAGTTTGACATTCCGAAATCTGCAGCTTGCCAAGAGAGTAGAGCTACTTCAAGATGAGCTGGCTCTAAGTGAACCCCGAGGCAAGAAAAACAAGGTAGGTCAAGTAAAAGCAAGTTAGTGTGACCTTGTCATTAGGTACAGACATCTCCAGGCCATCCTGGTTTTAACAGAAGACCTCACCTCCAAATACTCTAAAGTTCCATTATTACACCTGGATATTGGGTTAAGAAAGCAGACATTTATTATTAATATATACCAGTATTAGAGGCATTTTCATATGGAAGTGAGTTTTCAAGAATTTATTAGGGGCTTCCCTGGTGGCGCAGTGGTTGAGAGTCCGCCTGCCAATGCAGGAGACATGGGTTCGTGCCCCGGTCCGGGAAGATCCCACATGCCGCAGAGCGGCTGGGCATGTGAGCCATGGCCGCTGAGCCTGGGCTTCTGGAGCCACAACAGTGAGAGGCCTGCGTACCGCAAAAAAAAAAAAAAAAAGAATTTATTAGGAGCCAACATGCACATAGTTGATTTAGTGACTGAGAAAAGTGAAAGGAGTGTCTCATATTGGTCAAAATTATGGATATTTTTTAGTTATACTGAGTTGCCATTAACCCAAGGTAGGGCAGATAGAATGAGAAACATTGTCAAAGTGTAGCTGCTGTCTGTGAAAGTAGCAGTTAAAGTACTCATACATTAGGCTTGTAAGTTTGTTGCAGATGTATTTTCTTCGGGTGTTTATTCTTAGGAGTTCAATTTGGTATTATTGTCCTGAGATGTAAATATGATTTTTTCCCTTCTGGTTTTATGTCGTGAGGTGAGATTCTGATTACTCTAAGATGGATGATCCAGTACTTTTGATCATTCTGTGATTTAGAAGTTGTTTCTTTTTTAAGGGCAGGAGCTAGTGATTGAGTCTTTAAAAGTCTTGCATGTTTGTAGAACAGCACCCCACAAATTTGTGGGTTGAGGCAATAATAATAGAATGGTTGGAGGGAAGAAGGCCCGCAGTAACTCTGAAGCAGCATGGTGTGGAGGGAAGAGTGCTGGCTTTGGAGTTGAGCCCAGGCTTGAATTCTTTGTCTGCCATTTATAGTTCTATGACTTTAGGCAAATTTTTTAGCCTTGCAACCTCAGTTGTGGGGAAGATACTCTCAGGTTTGTTGTCAGGATTAAATGGGATCATGTAAAAGTACCCAGGACTGTATTTGCCATATGATGGGCAGTTGACATAATTATGTGTTGGTATATTTCCATACGCATTTCCCCTACATGGAAGAATTCTCTAGAGTGGTAATTTTCAAATAAATGGGCAAGAGAGAGGGCAAAACAGATATGTATTAGAATCACTTGGGAAACTGTCAAAATACACATGCTCTGGAAATTCTGAAAGACCCTTGGGGAGCGAATAGCCATCTGTATTTCAAACATGCTCCCCAGGTTAGTGAGATCCTCTCCCAGGGCTGTTTTAGCAGAGATTTGGGTATAATTACTTCTGAATTAATTTTAATAAGAGCTTTCCACATTTGGAAGCACTAAGGACCCAGAATATGTCATTCAACAGTGTTCCTTGTGTGCACATACCTCTTGTGTTCGCATTTAATGTTTATTTGTTTGTCTGTTTGTTACATAGCTGCTCCATTTTCAAAGGGCTTTCTAATCACTGGTTCACATTGGATCAGTAAATGACTTCATTTTAAGTGGGGAGTGAAGCACAAGAAAGGCAGAGGGGGGTGGTGACTGATGTCTGAACAGTTCATTGTTAGGCTGCCCCTTGAATAGTCTCACTTCTGTGTGTATTCCATGAAAACAGATGTTCATTATTGGCTCTTAAATAGTGCTGTTCTATGTAGAAAAAGTTAATATTGGTAAAAAGGCAAGTATTTTTCATAATCTTTGAGCTTTTTCCTTCTGTTTATTTATAATAGCTTTATCTTATGTTTTTTAAATTAGAAATTTATGTGAACTTCTGTATAAATGTGTTTTTGTGAATGCTGTTAATTTCTTAAAGGAGTTTTAACAACTCAGACTCATGGAATTGGTAAAACTGTCATTTCCCAAACCAAAAGATCAATTGAAATGATATTTATTAGCATATTTGTATTGCTAGCTTTCTGGGTCTGCTCTGTCTTCCAAAAGAACTACTCCTGAATTCATCTGCAAAGAATAGTGAGCCTTATCTGTTATTTTCTCTCTCTTTTTTAAGCTTTCCTGCTCATTGCAGTATTTGCAGTTCCAACTTGTGTCACATAGGAAAAGTTAAATGATGGACTGTATACCTTTTGCAGGATTGTTTGAGAATGGTGAACACGTAGAAGAGACAAGCTACTAAGGTGATAGAGAATCTGTGTACCTTAGGATGTTTCTCTAAAGGATGAAAGTTATGTGGACATAACTTATTCTTTCCATCAGAAAAGTGGAGAATCTTCTTCTCAGTTGAGTCAAGAGCAGAAGAGTGTCTTTGATGAAGACCTGCAAAAGAAGATAGAAGAGAATGAACGGTTGCACATACAAGTGAGAAAATCTTTCTGTTTTTCCATATGAATTTAAAAATGGGTTGTATGATCTGCAATGTGGAAAAACCAGTGCAAGATAGAGTGCTTTGTGTATGGGTGGGTGTTTTAATGTTTCCTGTGGTCCTTGGGTACATACGTCACTGTCATTCATTCATTTCTTAGATCTCATTCATGTTTTAATACGGATGTGTGCTTTGAATATACACTTGTTCAGAGTACAGCAGAATAACTTCATAAGTTAACAATAAAGAAGTATACTGGGCACTCTTCATTTTATATAGGAGGTGGTTGGATGGATCATTTAGATGGGGGCTTATCAATAAGTAGTGTTTGCTTTTTAATTTATGATAGCTTAGTTGGTTTTTATCTGTTTCCCTGTTAGTCTGTAAGGTCTCATTAGTGTATAGACCATGTCGGGTTTTGTCTGCCCAGCCTCAGGACAGGGCCTCACTCATGGCAGGCCCTCAAATATTTGTGGAATGTTGAGTAATCAGTGTCTGCTCCAAACCATTCAGCATGTTTTAAGAGTTATAGGGTAGTGGATTCAACTATGCCTCCTGATTTTTTGTGTGAAATGGTGAGCATAGTCAAACAGTGGAAAATAAATATGCATTCTCAGTCTTCGAAAATGTTTACAAAATGAACTTTTGACTTCATGAATTTTCTGTTAAGTATTCATAATTCTTAATTACTACTGGCTTCTCATTAAGGAAAGGAGCCTTACCTGCTTCAGGAGTAACACCTGTTTGATTTTTGATTATTTAATTGCAGAAGTCAGCCTAACAGAAAAGTTATACCCTGGTCAGTTGAGTTTTCTGTGTGCCAGAAATGGTTTAAAATAGAAATCCATGAGCCTGGGAGGAAGGAGGTACAGGCTTTGGAGTCAGTCTGTGACTGTGAGACATTTGACAAGTTAGGTCATCCCTTGAAGCTTCTGTTTCCCCATCTGTAAAGGAGGGATTACAAGTACACCACCTCTGACCTGCCGTGAGGCTCCACCGAGCTCATGCCTGCGTGGTTTTGCACAGTGAGCATATGGAACCTTATGGAAGTTGCTCAATGATTAGTCGCTGCAGTTGTTTTCTCTTCATTTGTATATATTGGGATGTTGTGAGAAGACACCATGATCTTTTCTTTTCAGTTTTTTGAAGCCGATGAGCAGCACAAGCACGTGGAAGCAGAGCTAAGGAGTCGGCTGGCCACTCTGGAGATGGAAGCGGCCCAGCACCAAGCTGTGGTCGATGGCCTGACCCGGAAGTACATGGAAACCATCGAGAAGCTGCAGAACGACAAGGCTAAACTAGAGGTAAGACCCGCCGTTGGTGAGAGCATGTGAAAAAATAGTCCAGGCTTTTGGAAATCATCCACCTGCTTTATAGAACAAAAGTTAGCCGTTCAAGGCAGGACTGCTGCCTGCAGCGTCTCCGCAGCGAGCTCACATCTGTGGCCTGAGTCCTCTGCTCTTCTTTTTATTTTTTTGACAGACCAATATGCATATAATTTTGGTTAGTTATATTTGTCACACCACATTTCTAGCAAATTGAACACAATTTCAAGTAAATAGCTATATAAAATTTATAGGGGAAAACCAGAAAATAAAAAAAAGGGTAGAAAAATTTTTTCTCTACCTGCAGGATTTCAAAATGGAAAGCCAAACAATATAGTTTGGCATAGTTTATTTTTAAAAATTTTTTATTTTTTTAAATTTTATTGGAGTGTAGTTGATTTACAGTGTTGTGTTAGTTTCAGGTATACAGAAAACTGATTCAGTTACACATACACACATATTCATTCTTTTTCAGATTTTTTTCCCATATAGGTTTATTACAGAATATTGAGTAGAGTTCCCTGTGCTTTTTTTTCCTTCTAAAATTCAGGTAAAATCTCAGACTCTAGAAAAGGAGGCCAAGGAATGTCGACTTCGGACAGAAGAATGGTATGTGGAAACGTGAATTCCAAGGGGCCCTGAAGTGAGAATCAGAAGACCCGAGTTTTGGTGTAGTAGCTCCTCTGTCTTAATTTTCCCACATTTGCAATGAGACAGGAGTAGATCGTCTCCATGGTCCTTTTCAGTTTTGTTATCTGTGGGACCTTATGAATTCTTTGTAGAGTGGCCTGTGCGTTAGTCCTCAGCCTGCAGATGTTTTGGACTGTGGCAGATGGCATTCTGGGGCTCCAGTACTGAGGACTGGGTCCTGTCTGTTTTAGACTACTCTAAAGAGAAGGCCTTCTCATTAGTCAGGAAAACTGACTAATGATCATGGTGTCAACCTTTTAATTTTAAATAATTTTAAATAAAATGAGGTTATGCAATCTATTGATAATTTGGAGATATTTATGTTTTAAAATATTACTTATCTCTAGGTAGTAAGAGCATGCACCAACACTTATTTGATAAATGACGTATTTTAGATTTTAATAAGATCAATCAAGTGCATTTTTTCAGTTTAGTTGCATTGAACATGCATGGTGTATCTATGGTCTTAACTGAATCAAAACCCAAAACGATCAGATTTTCAGCTCAAGAGAAAAAAAACGCTTTAATACTTTAAAAACGTTTACCATAATACTTGGACAAATATTTATGTGTTGTAAAGAGAAAATTTATGAGTTTGAAATGGCTCTAAGATTATTTTGAGCTTGGGGAGATAAACTTAAAATTGTATAAGATATTGGGACTGTGATAAATTCTTTGAAACTTCCAGTCATTCAACAGGAGTCTCAGGAGCTTTAGAATCAAGGCTTAGTATTTTTCTTATCTTCATTTTTTTTTTTTAACAACTCTCTACTACCAAGGGTATCCCAGATATCAGGTACCATCCTCTGAAAGCCTGGTACCAGCTGTTGAGGTAACAAGCAAATCATGACCTACTGTCTATTGATAATGTGGTTTTGTATTTTTTCTTTCAGTCAGTTACAGTTAAAGAATCTTCATGAAGATTTGTCAAGTAGATTAGAGGAATCCTTATCAATCATCAGTGAAAAAGTACCTTTTAATGATACAAGTGGGTATTATGTACAGTTTTCCATTATTTGCAACTCTGAACCTCTTTATGATAGCCAGCTAATTAAAATAATTTGTAATCTATTTGGCAGAAAATCTCTTTGGCCTAACAGAGGGTTGCTTTCTTTTTGTCCTTTTGATCAGCTTTGGCCTTCATGTTTCATAGGGAGATTTTAATTTGTCACATAACTATTCTGAAGCTAGGCTTCTTGGAAAAAGCCCAAAGCCACATTTTTTAATTGCATGTATTTAACATATCCCAAGGTGAAAACCAACTTTCACATAAAGTACCTGAATATTTGTACAAGAAAATTTGATCATGGTGGGCGGCAAGGTGGGAGAGGAGTAGCAGGATGGGTGGGAGGTGAATCTTCTTAGCCTGGTTATCTCCTGCCCTTTGGATAATCCCCAGAGATAGTTAGGGAGTTGACTTGGGTAAGCCCTGCTTCCTGCTCATCCTGGGAATGGTCTGGTAATTTACACAGCCAAGAGCAACAAAAAGAAGTTAAAAAAAGAAAAATCAACTTACATATATAACAGATGCCAAATTTGTAACCTTTAGACAGGTATTAAATCTAAACCTTGAAGACAAAGAAAACAATTGTTTTGATCCGGAAACTTAAATTTAAATTAGTACACATTTCCTTTTTTACAATTATATCATTGAAATTAATTTTTGACTTCTTCTCAATTTTTCTTAGGGAAGACCTAAAAAAAGAGGGAAGAAAAGACACCAAAGAAAAATAGTAGTTTGCTCTAACACTGAAATCAGCATATGTCATTATTATATCAAAAACCTAAATTCATCTGAAAACAACACCTGTTACTGCTTTCTACATTAATGTAAATAGCACCAGCATACTTTGATCCACTAGGCTTAAAACCTTGGCATTTCATTTTCCCCTTATTCCTTAGTCATCAGGTTCTAATCATTTCCTTCTGAGTCTCTTTGGGTTTATCCTTTCTTTTCCAGTACTAGTTGTCACCCTATTTTAGGTTCTTACCATGTCACAAGTAGGTTACTACTTTTAGTTCCGAATTAGAGATTATTTACTGAAAGTCTAAATGGGTGGGGAGCACAGGATATGCAAAAACGTATAAGACAAAAATCTCTACCTACCCTCAAGGAATGTATAGTCCAGTAGGGAAGAAATAAGGTAGAGAACTATCTAAAATATAAGCTAAGCTATTCCATGAAGAACCTCTTGGGGTTTCAGAGTAAGGATGATTACTACCGGTGGGGTTGTTTGGGGAAGCCTTTTGGAAGAAGTGTGCTTTGAGCTGGGCCAGGATGCAAAAGTAGGTTTTATTGGTAAGAGAGGTGAGGGAGAACGAGCCAGGGAATAGCATGGAGTGTGGTTATGTAGGATAAAGGTGCTGTCAGGGCCTGACAGCAGTAATTAGTTAAGTATGACTGGAGGCCAGAGTGGGTGGGATGTGGAGGCCAATGATGGGTAAGTTCTGAAAGGGAGGGTGGGGCTGGACCCTCAAGTTCTGGGCAAAGGGCTTGGGGGGACTTAATTTGCAAGTCAGTAGGTTGTTGCAGAAGCTTTTGGAAATGGCTTGGGGAAATTTGTGCACTCACAAAGTTCATCTGGCAACAGAGTGCAGACTACCCTGGAATGGGAGAAGGGGGCTGATGCTGTTGTGATGGTAGTCCTGGTGTGCTATGATGGGGGCTGGAGCCTGAGTTGTCAGGGAGATGCAGGGAGGCAAGGGAGCAACAGGAGGCAGTGTGGTGGAATGATGTGGTGCAGCTGACAGAAATCAAAGAGGCAGACGGGGAGCAGGTTTATGGGAAAGATGTTGACGGTAACTTTGTTGTGGCTTAATATTCTAACAGATTGGTGTGCATCTCTTTACCTACTGATGTGTACATTTGTGAATAAAAGCCTAGATCTGGGGAGAGAAACTGATGCACCAACTGATTGACCCAACTGGGATGGATGAGCCCCCCTGTTGGGAGTGGTGGGAATGAGGGGTGCATAGTACAAAGGGGCCTGTGCAGAGTGCACTGCAGTGATCAGGAAGGGAAGGGGCTGAGAAGCTGGGAAATGGGGTGAGCATTTATTATTTCTCAGTTAAGCTCTTTTTTCGTAAATGTAAAATGACTTAATGAACAGCCATTTTTGTTTTGTAGAATATAGTCAGTATAATGCTCTGAACGTTCCAGTCCACAATAGGAGACATCAGGTAAAGATGAAGTTTTTATTTTCAGTGATGTGTGTGTCAAACTTTTCAGAAACACCAATTAGTTGTTTGGGCCTCTGTTTAGTGCACCAAACCATTGCGTTTAACTTTTACTTTCTTTCCTCATACATTTTTAAAAATTGTGAAACTCGCTGTTTTTTGAATTTGTAAATAATATAGATTTTTGCTGTCTCTTGTCCGATAACATTAGAACTGAATTGTGGGATGCACTGATTTTTGAGTCATACCTTTCTTTTAGGTTTTGCACTTAAACAGTCTAGGTTAAGTGGAGAGGTATATGTACCAAAGCTGGCGGCTTTCTATTGTAATTACTTAGATGGTAGTATTAAAATCTAAGTGGGAGCAAATGAATTTAAATTAAGGAATAATTATACTAGAGTTCAAATGTTTCTCCAAAAGCAGACTTAATAAAGTTGTTTGGGAGTAATAACTTGATAGTTGACTTTAACTGTATCCTTTTCATTTTGAAGCTGAAGATGCGGGATATCGCTGGGCAGGCCCTGGCTTTTGTTCAAGATCTCGTCAAGGGTCTTCTGAACTTTCACACCTATACAGAACAGAGGATTCAGATTTTTCCTGTTGATTCTGCCATTGACACTATATCTCCATTGAATCAGAAGGTACATTTAACTCAGGATACTTTTTGTTTGCCCTGAACAAACGTGGAGACTTGTTACTAATTATCAGACCACTTGTGTGCCTCTGCCAAGTACTGTGGAGGACATGGGAAAAGCTACAAATCGTAGTCTTTACCCTTAAGGTAAAATATGGCAAACGTGGGGATTCTTAAGAAATGAAATAGTAAGGGAGTTGTTAAAGACCTTAGTGTGAGTGAGTGGTATGGGCAGTAAGTGATATGAGGTCATCAGGGAGGGGAGATTGCTGTCGGTGGTAGTGTCTGGAAAGGTTCTTTGGTGATTTAACTGGACTTTGAAAAATGAGCATGATTTGCATGGGAGGAGTGAAGCGGGGTGGGTATTTTTTCACCACAGGAGAGGGAAAGACATGAGCAAAACCATGGAGTAGGAAACCATAGGGAGTATGCACGTAGTCACATACCACCACTTTTGCCATATTGTACTGGTAACACAGACTGGCCCTGACACAGTGTGTGAGGGTGGGTGTTACTCAGAGCCAAGAATAGTAGGAGGTGGGGATTATTGGGGCCATCTTGAAGGGAGGAAATTAGGGGGCTTGTAATAGATGAACTCTAAGTGCCCCATACTGTGGTGTCTGAAGTGAGTCATGCCACTCTCTACTTACCTGATTTTTCTCATCAGCTTTTTTTTGGTGTCTGTGTGTGCATCATGCAGTATTTCCAGGGTTTGAATAGTATTTATGTCCACAGATCCTGTTAGTATAGCAAAGGCTTAGATTCTGGAGTCATACTTCTGGGTTGGTAGCCCAGTTCTGCCACTTTCTATGTCCCCTTGGTCAGTTTATTTAACCTCTCTGTGCATCTTGAAAATGGAGGATAAAGTACCTACCCCACAGGTATGTATGTTTGAGGATTTAATGAGATAATACATGTACAGTGCTAAGAACAGTGCTTGGCACATAGTAAGTACTCAGTAAAGGCTAGCTCTTACCATTGTCGTCATGCTGCCGTACTCATAGGAAGCCCTCAGCAGACGCTTGCTTTTCATCAATTTTCATCTGACTCCACAAATCTTTTGAAGTTCATAAAAATTAAACTTTGGGCCTTTGAAATGCTCTTTAATATCACCGTGGGAAAAAGCTTTCAGATGACCTCGGTAAGGAAAATGGAACTGCAGCATTTTAATGTAGTTATATTTTCTTTTATACTTCCTATAATATAAAAACATTTTTTTCCACTGATTCTTTGTCCATTATTTTATTTTATTTATTTATTTATTTGGTTGGTTGGTTTTGGGGGTTTTTTGGCCACACCGTCTGGCTTGCGGGATCTTAGTTCCTCAACTAGGGATTGAACCCGGACCCTAGCAGTGAAAGTGCTGAGTCTTAACTATTGGACCACTAGGGAATTCCCGCCATTACTTTATTTTAGCTTGTTGCCATATTATGCCCACACAGCGAGAATCAAATATGTTAATCTTAATAGAAACATTTCATTACTTTGAAGAATTCCTATTTTTCTCAATATTTTACCCTTGGTGCTTTGGCCTCTGAAAGGCCCTATATGATTTTCTATTAAGTCTGTATTACTGAAGATTCAGAAACCATTTGTTAAAAGATGACCAAAGCGTTTAGACTTGTTCATAGAATCATAAAGTAGACGTTTATACCTGAGCTTAGAGTTCAACTTATTTACAGCTCCAAAGATCGAAGCCCAGAGAGACTGAATTTCCCAGGGCCATATATCTGTGTAGTTTGCAGTAGGGCCAATTGAATCACCTATCTGCAAAATGAGACCTTACATTTCCATACTGAGAAAAAGAAATTTGAGCCATTATACAGTATTTAGAAAACTGAGATATTTCACAAGTGAAAAATTAACTTCTTGCTTCTCAGTTGTCTAAATGCCTGGGGAATCTTTTTCTGAATCTATTCTTCATACTGAATTAGTCCTTTGTAAATATTACAGTATCCATGACAGTTATAAAAGTTTTTATATTCTCATTTTGATGATAATTACATTCCTGGAATTTGTTAACCTTGAACATTGTGTACAGTGAAAATAAGAAACTGTACTTAAAAGTCTTTTGCTTCTAAAAAATGAGTTAAATTAAATGAGTTATATAACACAAAAATCTGTCATACAGTTTTGATTATCAAACCTTTTTTTTTTTTTTAACTGGGACCCCTATGAAGAAGCAGTTGTTTAGAGAAGGCCTGTTGGTGCTGTGTTGTAAATAGTATACCCTCCCCATTTGCTTCATGCCTGGTCATTAATTATGTCATCCCTCTTCTAGTTCCTCATTTTGCAATGGAATGGGGACTTGGGAATAATATCTAGGATTTTAGAGGGGAGCTCTGTGTAAAAGCCTGATTTCCCAAAAAAAGTTTGCAAAAGAATTTAGGTTTAAAACTCAGTGAGTCCATTTACAAATGTTTTGCTATTCTTTATTTTCCAGTGATTTAACTCACAGTTCTTTCCCTTCTATTTAGTTCTCACAGTATCTTCATGAAAATGCATCCTATGTCCGCCCTCTTGAGGAAGGAATGCTTCATTTATTTGAAAGTATTACTGAGGATACTGTGACTGTCCTGGTAATTTTCTTCTATGTTTTACTTCTGGAAATGGGAGCTCTTCTTTTTCAAATGACACTATTAACCTTGAAATTTTTTCTTTTCCAGGAGACAACTGTGAAATTGAAAACTTTTTCAGAGCACTTAACCTCTTACATATGTTTTCTTAGGAAGATTCTTCCTTATCAGTTAAAAAGGTACTTACCCTCTGGGCCAGGGAGCTTGGGGAGTTGCGAGGTATCATCTGAGCTGTGCTGGAGTTACTAAAGTAATAACATGTGCTTCTTGTGATCTGCCTGACCTTTCTGCACCACAACCAATTTGGACTTCTGTGAAAAAGGAAAGTCATGGTTTGAGCAGCACAAACTTATATTTAAGAAAATTGAATTGTAGTTTGTCAGCTAGGGTTTTTTCAGTATTCTGTACTGAGATTACTACTATAACCACATAATGCAATATGAACCAGTATTTTTAATGATTGTGAATGACACATTTATTGAAGGAAATATTTCATTTTGGGGTATTTTTTATCCTTTTACTATAAACATCTAGGTGGGGGTTATAATAGTTAACCTCTACATTGCAATTTATAATCCTTAGGTTTCTTTGAAATAGTATATTGTTTTTATTATTGGTGATTTATTTAAGTTATAAAGTAAAAACTTTGTGTACATACTTCAGCCCTCATAGGATATGTCATTAATTAGCCTTAAATGCTCCATCTTAAACACTTTTAGAAAGGCAAGAGAAAATAATTTATGTAATTGGAAATTTGAGAATACTCCTTGTACATTTTGATACTTTTGGTCTAAAACTACCAAGAGTCCTAATTCATCTAAATCTTTTCATCCTAAGATTTAGTCTTTAAAAAAAGTAATCAAAGAATAATACAATAATAATAATAATACATAGGAGAAATAAGAGCATATATGTAGTATAGTATATTGTAAAATAAGGTTTAGGAAATACGTAGATGAATAACTTACAGATGTTGAAAATATACAAGTAATTATAGTTTTTAAGTCCTTGTAAAACTAAAGTAGTAGGTTTTAGCTTTTCAATAATATGAAATTTTATTATTAAAAATTAATGTGTTAAGAGCCATCTTATTTCCTAATTCTAACCTAACAAAGGCATTTCAGTAACTGAATTCTATGATTTGTGCACATGACAGAGTTTTAGGAATCAGGGAATTATGACAAACTAATGAAACAAATGAACATTTTGAAACAAGCAAACTATTGAAACAAACAAACAGTTTCATTCAGATCCTTAAATGTTTTAGTTCAGTATAATTAAAGTTTTTTTGAAAATTGACTCTGGAAGTTTAACACTAAATTGAATACACTTTATTGATTTGGCTTACGTTGAAAAGACTCTAAGAACCATTGCAAAACTTCTAATTGCCAAACATCTGCTCTTCTTATCATCCTGTGACTTCCCCTTCTCCAGGCTCCTATCCCATTCCTTACCTCAGGATGGCATATATAAGCCTCAGTTGCCCCACTTGCCCTTGAGTCTCATTGTCTTTGTGGACTCCCCTACATATGTAATTAAATTTTTTTTCTCCTATTAAAAAAAAAAAAGAACCATTGCAAAAGTGGTATTTACTACTTGAAACAGTTAAGCATTGTTATTTTATCTTAATTTATTTTTTCACTATTACATTTTTAGAAACACTGGATAAGTCCTTTCTTGATTTAAGATTCCTATTCTTGGAATGTTCTGTTCCATATGCCTTCAGCCCTATGTTATCAGGTATTTATGTTTTTAGGCAATTTTTTGGTCATTGGTTTAAATACCACTTTAGTTGACAAGATGACATGTTCATTAGTAGTAAATGGGCTTAGTACTGAATGAAGCTGTTTGCTATAAATAAATAGAAGAGGCAAGGTCAAGGGAATGGATATGATTATCATTCTGTGCTAATAACTTTCGTAGCTTTGTGTAAAAAGCATTTTACTTGATTACTGCACGTTTTAAATAAACACTCTTAAGAGTCAGTATAGTTTTTTTAACCTTATAATTAAGTTTTCCAAAGCACCATTTAAAATTGAAAATGGTAAAATGTATTTTATGAATGTTAAGCATTTATTTTTGTATTGAGCCTATAGATTATTTTTTCCATTCTGTTTGACTTTTGAACCTACATACACTGAAAAAGGTTTCTCAATGATTTTCTGTCCTAGTTCCTGTGTAATTAATTCTCTTTAGGAATTCAGTCTATGAAATATTTTTCTCCTGAAAATATTTTTAAGGGAAACATGTTTTTGCTGCTCTCAGGATGGAAAGATAATGGGCACCTCCCTTTATTTTTTCTTCCATTTAGTCGTCTTTTGCTGCATTGGCGTTTGCAGCAAGCAGGTGTATGTATTATGGTATAAAAAATGGAACCTTGTAAATGAGATCAAATTCCTTTTTTGGTAAATTCTCTCTTTGGATATAGATGTTTGAGAATTTAGATAGTTTCTTATAGCTAGTTGAAAATCGTGCAGGATGCTCACTTTTATAAAATCTGCCCATTCTTAGTTTAGAAGAAGAATGTGAAGCTTCCCTTTGCACATCTGCATTACGAGCCAGGAATCTAGAGCTGTCCCAGGACATGAAAAAGATGACAGCTGTGTTTGAGAAGCTGCAGACTTACATTGGTCTTCTCGCCTTGCCAAGTAAGTATTTTTGTTACTCATGGTTTAACTTGAAGAAATTAGAGTACAAGAAGCTTGAGAAGGGAGGTGGTTTGGCGTGTTGAAGTGAGAAGAGGGTCAGAAAAACTTGAATTCAAACCCTCCAGCTCCTTATACATTTAGGGTCTTGGGCAAATCACTTCTCTGCTTCTGTTTTCCCACTTATAAAACGGAGGTAAATGTGATTAAGTTAAATTAAGAATGTACAATATCAGGCATCGAAGACATACATTAAATATTAAATCTCTTGGGCTTCCCTGGTGGCGCAGTGGTTGAGAGTCCGCCTGCCGATGCAGGGGACACAGGTTCGTGCCCCGGTCCGGGAAGACCCCACATGCCACGGAGCGGCTGGGCCCGTGAGCCATGGCTGCTGAGCCTGCGCGTCCGGAGCCTGTGCTCCGCAATGGGAGAGGCCACAACAGTGAGAGGCCCGCGTACCGAAAAAAAAAAAAAAAAAAAAAAATTAAATCTCTTTCTCTCCTTCCTCGTTTTTAAATGGAGAGGGGCAAAGCATAAGAATTCGTAGCAACTTTCCAACAGGTAGCATAGGGGAAGGTTAATAGTAAAAATGCTATTTTTAGAGGAACTGTATCATAACAAAGCCCCAAAATGTAAAGGTTGAAAGTCTTGGGGAAAAAAATGCTGTTTTAATTTGAAAAAAGTATTTTCAGGCCATTGAATGGACCTCAGTTTAAATGATGTTTGTAAGAAAACCATGATTTTTATAGTAGTGATTTGATTATTTGTTTTTGTAACAGCTTAAATGTGATATAATTTACATACCATACAATTTACCCATGTAAAGTGTACTGTTCAGTAGTTTTTACTATAGTCACAGGCATGTGCATCAACACTACAGTCAGTTTTAGAATATTTTCATCACCTTAAGAAGAAACCCTGTATACTTTAGCTATCACCCTCTTATTCCCCTGTTCTGTCCCCGCCCAGTACCAAGCAACCATTAATCTACTTTCTGTCTATAGAATTGCCTGTTCTGAACATTTCATATAAATGGAATCATATAATCTGTGGTCTTTTGTGACTGCTTTCTTTCACTTGGCATAATATTTTCAAGATTCATCCAAGTTGTAGCATGTATAGGTATTTCATTCCTTTTTATTGCAGAATAATATTCCATTGGATGGATATATCACATTTTATTTATCTACCTATCAGTTGATGGACATTTGGGTTGTTTCCACCTTTTGGCTATTGTGAATAATGATGCTATAGACATTTGTGAACAAGTTTTTTTTTTTCTTTTTTTGCGGTATGAGGGCCTCTCACTGTTGTGGCCTCTCTTGTTGCAGAGCACAGGCTCCGGACATGCAGGCTCAGCAGCCATGGCTCACAGGCCCAGCCGCTCCGTGGCATGTGGGGTCTTCCCGGACCGGGGCACGAACCCGTGTCCCCTGCATCGGCAGGCAGATTCTCAACCACTGCACCACCAGGGAAGCCCTATTTGTAGACTTTTTGATGATGACCATTATGACCAGTGTGAGGTGATAGCTCATTGTAGGTTTGATTTTCATTTCTCTAGCATCTTTTCATGTGCATGTTGGCCATCTGTGTGTCTTCTTTGGAGAAATGTCTGTTTTGGTCTTCTACCCATTTTTTTTTGGCAGTGCCATGCGGTTTGCGGGATCTTAGTTCCCCCATCAGTGGGTTGAATCCGCACCCTAGGCAGTGAAAGCACAGAGTCCTAACCACTGGCTGCCAGGGAATTCCCTTTACCCATTTTTCTGATTGGATTGTTTGTGTTTTTGATATTGAGCTGTAGGAGCAGTTTGTATATTTTGGAAATTAAGCCCTTGTTGGTTGCATCGTTTGCAAATATTTTCTCCCAGTCTGTAGGTGTCTTCATTTTGTTTATGGTTTCCTTTCCTGTTCAAAAGCTTATAAATTTGATTAGGTCCCATTTGTTTATTTTTGCTTTTATTTCTTTTGCCTTGGGAGACTGATCTAAGAAAATATTGCTACAATGTATGTCAAAGAGTGTTTTGCCTATGTTCTCCTTTAGGAGTTTTATGGTGTCATGTCTTATATTTAAGTCTTTAAGCCATTTTGAGTTTATTTTTGTGTGTGGTGTAAGGCAGTGTTCTAACTTCATTGATTTATATGTGGCTGTCCAGCTTTCCCATACCACTTGCTGAAAAGACTGTCTTTTCCCCTTTGTATATTATTGCCTCCTTTGTTGAAGATTAATGCGCTGTAGGTGTGTGGGTTTATTTCTGGGCTCTCTATTCTGTTCCATTGATTCATATGTCTGTTGTTGTGCAGTACCATGCTGTTTTGATTATGGTAGCTTTGTAGTATTATCTGAAGTCTGGAAGGGTTATGCCTCTAGCTTTGTTCTTTTTCCTCGGGATTACTTTGGCAATTCTGGATATTTTGTGGTTCCATATAAACTTCAGAATTATTCTAGTTTTGTGAAAAGTGTCATGGGTAATTTGATAGGGATTGCATTAAATCTGTAGATTTCTTTGGCTAGTATGGGCATTTTAACAATATTATTTCTTCCAGTCCAAGAGCATGAGGTAACTTTCCGTTTTCTTGAATCATCTTTGATTTCCTTTATCAATGTTTAATAGTTCTCAGCGTATAAGTCTTTCACCACCTTGGTTAGGCTTATTCCTAGGTTTTTTTTTTTTGATATGATTTTAAACAAAATTGTTTTTTACTTTCTCTTTCTGGTGTTTCATTGTTAGTGTAAAGAAATGTAACAGATTTCTCTATATTAATCTTTTATCCTGCTACCTTACTGAATTCATTTATGAGTTCTAATAGTTTTGTGTGGAGTCTTTAGGGTTTTCTATATAGAGTATTATGTCATCTGCACATAATGACAATTTTACCTCTTCCCTTCCAATTTGGATATTTTTGTTTCTTTTTTTTGTCTGATTGCTGTGGCTAGGACTTGCAATACTATGTTGAATAGAAGTGATGAAAGTGGGCATCCTTGCCTTGTTCCAGAATTCAGCTTTTCATCACTTAATATTATGTTGGCTATGGGTTTGTCATAAATGACTTTTATTATGTTGAAATTTGTTACCTCTATACACACTTAGGTGGGAGTTTTTATCATGAATGGATGTTGAATTTTGTCAGATGCGTTTTCTGCATCTGTTGATATGATCATGTGTTTCTTGTCTTTTCTTTTGTTCATGTGGTGTATCGCATTGATTGATGTGCATATGTTGAACCATCCTTGTGACCCTGGAATGAATCCAGCTTGATTATGGTGTATGATCCTATTTATGTGTTCTTGGATTTGGTTTGCTAAACTTTTTTGACAATCTTTGCTTCCATATTCATCAAAGATATTGGCCTGTAATTTTCTCTTTTGGTAGTGTCTTTTTCTGGTTTTGGTATCAGTGTGGTAGTGGCTTCATAGAATTACTTTGAGAGTGTTCTTTCCTCTTCAGTCTTTTGGAAGAGTTTGAGAAGGATAGGTGTAAGTTTTTCTTTGTATGTTTGGTAGAATTCCCCAATGAAGCTATCGGGTCCAGGACTTTTGTTTGCAGGGAGGTTTTTTTTTTAATTACAGATTCTATTTTACTTCTAGTGATCAGTCTGTTCAGATTATCTGTTCCTTCTTGATTCCTTTTTGGCAGTCCGTGTGTTTCTAGAAACTTGTCCATTTCTTCTAGGTTGTTAATTTTTTTTGGCATATAACTGTTCATAATAATTTCTTAAGACTTTTTTATATTTCTGCAGTATTGGTTGTTATTTCTCCTCTTTCATTTCTTATTTTGTTTATTTGGGCCCTCTCTATTTTCTTCTTGGTGAGCCTGGTCAGTGATTTGTTGATTTTGTTTATCCTTTCAAAAAAACAGCTCTTGGTTTTATTGATTTTTTTCTGTTGTTTTTAAAATCTCTATTTATTTACTCTCTGATCTTTATTATTTCCTTCCTTCTGCTGACTTTAGATTTTGTTTGTTCTTTTTCTGATTGTTTCAGGTGGTAGTTTAGGTTTATTTGAGATAGGCCTGTATCACTATGAACTTCCCTCTTAGGATTGCTTTTGCTGCATCCCATAGGTTTTGTATGGTTGTGTTTTCATTGTTGTTTGTCTCAAGGTATTTTTTAATTTCCTCTTTGACTTCATTGTTGACCTATTGGTTTTTTAGTAGCATGTTGTTTAGTCACCATATAACCATTTTTTTCTCGTTTATCTTTCTGTGGTTGATTTCTTGTTTCATGCCCTTGTGGTCAGAAAAGGTGCTTGAAATAATTTTTGTCCTTTTAAGTTTGTTGAGGCTTGTTTTGGGTCTTAGTTTGTGGTCTATTCTAGAGAACGTCCCATGTGCCCTTGGAAAAAGAATGTGTATTCTATTTTTTTTTTTTTATGTAGTGTCCTGTAGATATCAATTAAGTCTAACTGTTCTATTGTGTGTCTAGGTGTCAGTCTACCTTATATCTCCAATGAATCCTCCGAATTACCTTCAGCACAAGTGCCATTATTTTTGAGAGCATCCCTAGGCTTGAACTTCTTCTCCACAGTCTGTTGTGAATTAAGTCAATTCCTTTGGGAAGAGATTCAGAGCTTTCTGTTTTAAGAACTGTTTCTCCCTTGGCTTAAATCTCTGAGCCGTGGTTCTGTGCAGGGGATGATGACAGTGATGCACTTCTCTCAGAGTGACACCCCTGCATTACTCCATGGAGAGGGTAGGGCAGCAGCCTCTGGTCTCCTCAGCTTGCCTCTTTCAGCATGGAACTCCTGTGAATGAGCTGGGGCCAGGATGATCAGGGCCACAGATTCTCAGCTGCACCATGCCCACGTAGAGCCTCCATCCCACAAGTCAGGGCTGGGTAAAAGAAGAGAACCCCCCACCTCTGAGTCATATTTACCTAGAACTTAGCCTCAGCAACAGGTAACTGAGAGCGAGATAAGAAGAAATGCAGCCCTCCAGCTGAGTTAGGGGAGAGGGAGCCTTGTGTTCTTGGCTGTACCCTCTGGACTGGGATTTGTAGCTCACTGACTGGTAAGGGGACGGAGTGGGTTTTGGTTCACATACCACAGATTCTTGCTATTGTTACTGAGTTAATATAGATTTTCTTGATTAAATGTTTCTTTACTTGCTGTATGCCCTTAGGATAATTTCCAGAGTTTAAAGTGGTTATTTTTAAATCATTTTCACCAGTTGTGCTGGTGAGTGGATATGTGGAGCTTGCTTATGCTGTCATGCCAGAATTGGAACTGTGATGTTTGAATAATAGTGTTTTTAGTGATGTTCAGCAAACAATAATATGTAGGGAAAGCACAAAATGAGAAATGTGTTCTGTAGTAACAAGGTGAAATTCACAAAGGCTCTCATTTCAAAAAGAATCATGAAAGACATAATCCTGCTTAGCAATTTAATTTTGATTCTTGTAACCATTAATATCTGTGGACATGGGGGATGCAAGTCAGTTTAGATCCCTGTAATTATCACCATTCTATCTGAATGTGTCTACAATGATTTTAAGAGCCATTATTTTCAACGTATCACAATCAGTATTCACTCTCTCTCTTCTCAAAAGTAGAGGGGAGATGGTGGGCTGTCAGTTTTTCAGGTGAATTCTTCTGGGAAAATGCTTAGGTTTGTGATCTTGGTTTCCTAGGTACGGAGCCAGATGGACTCCTTCGGACAAACTACAGTTCTGTCTTAACAAATGTTGGTGCTGCTCTGCATGGATTTCACGATGTCATGAAAGGTGAGGCTTGGAAAAGAACATAAATAAGCTTTGTCCCATTTTCCCAGATCTGCCTGAATGAGATTTAAACAAATACTGCCAAGGCTAATAGACCCCACATAAAGGTTTAGTAGCATTTGGCTTAACGTTGAAGTGCACAGCTTACTGCCTTCTGCTTTTCCCATCTGCTTCTCTCCTGAAGGTAAACAAAGTGCTGAAGAGAAACCCTTGTGCCCGGAACTTTAGCCAAAAATACATTACACTGACTTAAGGCAGGTGTATGAATTTTATCAAGCCAGACATGCTATTCAGAGGCATTTAGCAAAATGCTGCACTTGTTAGAGCCCAAACATGAAGGAACTGAGGAAATGAAGGTTTAAAGATCCCAGAAAGAATGCACTGGTTTTCTACGTAGCCTCCTGTGTGTTTCTGTGTTTAGAGTACCCATTATAAGTCCTGTTTTGTTCAGGAGAGCCTTAAGGAATGAAGGTCTGTCTTCAAGATTTGGTCAGTTTTTAGTTGCTATGTGCTTCTAAGAATATGCTTGTCGACGGTCAATTCATTTGCTTCCTAGCATGTGATTCTGAGTCCTGATTTTTTAATCTATATTTCTGCATGGCTTCTAGGTTTTTTTCCTCTGTTCTTTTCCGTTTGAAGACTGTTGGAGTAGGGGGAGGAGAGGAGGGCAGGAGCAATTATTAAGGACTATTGGAAATAGCCCAGGTGCCTGGATTTTTCACTGAGGTGTTTAGTGTGCAGTTAGTGACCAGTTGCTGGTTTCACAGAAAATACTTTTTAAAAACTTAAAACTTTGTTGGATGGCATGTATAAGATGGCTATATTTGGGGCCTTTCTATAGGTTGGCACATAATCACATAATAACCTATGTTACTGGGAATCATTCTTAGTTTCAGTGGAATTACCCAGTACTACCTTACCATTCAGTCTGGAAAATGGTCCTTCCTGTGGCTTGTCTTCAATTATAAGGAACTTTAAAAGTCACTGTACTTCTGGAGCTAACACTGGTTGCAGGAATCACAGCTTGCATAGACAGTCTTGGTGGCAGGTGACGAGGCAGCCCCAACCCTGCAGAACCTAGTCTGGTCCATAGAAAACCCAAGGGACTGGTACCTTTTTCCTGTGCAGCTTTTGGTTTGGGGAGCTCAGACTTAACCATAGTCCTCTATTCCAGAACTTTACGTAATGTAGAACTAGGCCATTGAAACCACAAGTAGTTCTGTGGCTACACGTTTTTTGGTTTTGTTTCCTAAGTTTTCCTATGCTAATGTTACTATTTGTTCCTGCTAGTGTTTTCTCTAGAATTTTGATAAAAGAGAGGCTAGAGCAATGGAGGGTAGCTGACCATTGAGGATCTTAAAGCTTCATTTACATTTCAAAAAATCTTGATTTTATATATATTTCTATAAATAATAGTGTACTTCTGAGTTTTCTCAAAATGCTTTTGTTCATGTATGACATAAGATGCCAAGTGGTCCAAATCAAAGAATGTTACTATTATTATTTGCTATGAGCTGGTGGAGGAGGATCAGAGGCTCCCTTAGCCCCCTTTGTGCCTCTGCTTGTTTCTGTCCTTGAAAGTGAACATAATATAAAAAGACTGGGAAACATGAAGGATGGTTGGCAAGCAGATTATGGCCTCTTGTTGCTAGTTTTACAGTTCAAATCTGTCTTCTTACGCAGTTGGAAGACTGTTGTGTATCTCTCATGAAAACTGAGTGAGCATTAACTTGCATTACCAGAATATACTTTGTTTTTAAGAGAACTTTTATTTCAAATCTTTTCCCTTGATGCTTTGCCCTTAATTGCTTGGTCCAAGTTGGAAAGAAGGAAGGAAGGAAGGCAATCAAGAAGGCAGGCTGGGGTTTCCCTGGTGGCACAGTGGTTAAGAATCCGCCTGCCAATGCAGGAGACACAGGTTCGAGCCCTGGTCTGGGAAGATCCCACATGCCGTGGAGCAACTAAGCCTGTGCGCCGCAACTACTGAGCTTGTGCTCTAGAGCCCGCGAGCCACAACTACTGAAGCCTGTGCACCCTAGCGCCTGTGCTCTGCAACAAGAGAAGCCACCGCAAGGAGAAGCCCGCACACTGCAACGAAGAGTAGCCCCCACTCGCCGGAACTAGAAAAAGCCCGCGTGCAGCAACGAAGACCCAACGCAGCCAAAAATAAATAAACAAATAAATAAAGTTATAAAAAAAAAAAAAAAGAAAGCAGGCTGGTATTAGTATAAAAAGAGAGATTTATAAAAATGTGTATCCTACAAGGAATTAAAATGGAAGTGAATTAATCTTTTAACAAGTGGCATTCTAAGTGAGAATTGTTTGATCTTTGGTCTCAAGTCTAAAGCAGGTAGACTCATAGGAAACATAAAAGAAAATAAATCTGTTGTCTAGGTCACATGATTTCCTTGTACTTTTTGGAGTTAAACTTTAATGTCGAGGAACACCCTAAATAATGAAAATATTTGGACTCGATAAAGAGTAAACAGTTGGATTGGGAGAATTATTATAGTCAAACTACAGTAGCTCTGATTCACTAGATGCCATGGGAGGATTCTTAGTATTGTACATCTTTTATAAGTACTTCAATCACCTACACCAATCAACCAAGATTGCCTACCAACCCAGTTGTATTATAGCATTGTATACAGACAGTAAAATATTGAATAAAACTTTGGTGTATAGAAAGAAAATGTCTACTCTAGGGTCTAGCAAGTTCAGTATACAAAAAAATGTTCAGTGTTCCAATTGAATTTTCATTCACTTGGATATCTTATGAATATATAGAGGATAATCATTTATTTTTAAGAAATATTAAACATAATAGTAATTACCAATTAGTTGGTTCCTTCACTGTGACAACTACCATAGTAGTGTAGGGTGTTAACAATAGTGAAAACTGGCTAAGGGTATCCAGAAACTCTGTAATTTTTCTATAAATCTAAGACTATCTTAAATTAAAAGTTTATGTAAAAGTTTATATATATGTGTATATAACACAATATATATAAGTAATGCAATTTTCTAGTTTTAAATTTCAGTAAAAGTAATCTTATTCATAAAACAGTAATTTTGTTAAAAATCATTATCATACTAGGTTAAATCTCAGATACCCTTTCTTTTTGAATAGTCTTATTCCCTTTTAATTATCTATAGTCTAAAATCAACTAAATTTCTTGATTCTGAATAAATGAAATTCTTTGTATACACACCTGCTATAAAAGTTAGTTTCCATGTTTTGTGATTTATTTTTTGCTTTGTTGGTAATGATAATTAATGCTGTTGTAACTGAAGTACTGTAAAAAATTCAAAGGAGGCTGTATCATAAACACCTTTTTATTTAAAAATACAATTGCCCTTCCTTGTAAATCAATGTTGTCTTGGTAATTCTCCCATTTTCCCTTATTTCCAGGATGAAATTACTTTATTTCTCAGAGACCCAGAAAACCCCAAGCTTAGCTGTTTGGCGAGTTTCACCTACTGCTGTTTCTGTCAACACATTTATATCTAAGCCTCCCTTCTATGTTTCCATAACCACAGGCCTTTGTTATAGCTTTCTTGTACTAGAGTCAGTAGAATGTGAAGCCAGGTGCTAGAGTATCCAATCCTTATTTGGCCATGCAGACCTTTCTTATTGTTAAAGTATGTACTGGCAAACCAGCTAAGATCCAGTAAGGATTGTGGGACATTGTCCCTGTGTTGGCTGTTCTTTTTCCAGCCTCATGGTTTGTTTGTATAAGCACAATGTACACTCTCATTTGTGCCTGCTGGACTATCAAAACAAGGTTTTTAACTGGTAAATATTGCTCAGGGTCCTTTACCTGGCGCTAGAATAAGGGCTAACACTCAAATGAAGGAGAATGAGACCCACCTGCTAGGGGCCGTAATCGAGACACCAGGATGGTGTTAAGAGACCCTCACCACTCTCTATTCTTTCCATGTGAACTTGAGACCTAATTGATATTCAGCACAATCCTCATATTTGGGACCATTTTTTGTCAGATTTGTCTTGTAAATTTGTAAGAGTAGATATAAGAAGTTAACAGGCTGGTTATCTGTATACAACTTGTATATAGATAGTAATGAGTTTTCATTTGATTGGGTTTATAGATATTTCCAAACATTATAGTCAAAAGGCTACAATAGAGCATGAACTTCCAACAGCAACACAGAAGCTCATAACAACTAATGATTGCATCCTGTCATCAGTAGTGGCATTGACAAATGGAGCAGGAAAGGTAATTTTTCTCTGGTTTATATTGACATTAAATTCAACTCTTAAATATGCTCCTTTTTTTTTTCTTTTGAGTGGCCTAGTAGGAAAATTGATCTGTGTAAAGATTTTTGATTACCAGGCTTTTTTGTAAAACAAAGTTGTCTCCCTTTTCCTCCTTCCTACCTAATATTTGAAACAATATGGTAGTTACTGTTAAACGTTTGTGATGAGGAAGTGGGTCAGGCACTTCTGACATTTTAATGAGATATTTGATGATTGAAAGATTCCAGGTGGTCTCACTATAGATCCTTGTGTGTATTAAAGGTCTGCTATACAGAAATTGGGATATAGAAAAAGAAAAAGAATTATAAGACCTTTGTTAATATTTTGTTTTTTCCCCTCCAAGTTTTTTGTTTGTTTTTTGGCAACACTTGTGATAATGCTACTTCTGTGGTTTTTGTACCCTAATAAGTACTTTTAAGATGACTTCAACATGTGTCTTCTCATTGAATTCTTAATATTAGATAATGAACATTTGGATTAGTAAGTACTTAATTGTTATTATAAACTGACCAGAGCGCAGTTTCTTTAAAAATTGTTCTGTCTTGGATAACTGGTTTCAGCAAGTCACATTCTAAGAGCACATGTTCATGTGGCTGTCATCAAAGCCTTTAGTGACTAAGATTTCTCTGAGAACTACCCATACATATAAAACCAAAAGTACTGTATTCAGGACTATCTTAGCCCATTTATTTCAGCAGACTCAACATAATTTCTCAAGAAAGTGCTAATCTCTATCTATGTTATATACCTTTATTTTTCTGACAGGTTGACCTTAGTAGGAGCACACTTTTTTCAAGTGTTTTAAGTTAATCAGAAATGATCATAGGTTATGGTAGGTATTCAGTGTCACCTTTCCCAAAGTCAGGCCAGTCTTCCTGACAGTCTGCTAAGTTTGGGGCTGTAATTAAAAGGTGCTGCCTTTCAGATCTGTCAGCTCGCAGGTGAGTGCCTACAGGATTCCTTAGTCAGAAGACCATCCCCACTGCCTCCTCTTTAGTGCTTTCACCCACAGGCATTCTGGAAACTTTCTGAGGATGATTCTGACTTTGATTCAATTGTGAACAATTTCTGGAAAAAGAGAATGTTGACATTTTACAAGAGTCTCTGCATTTGTCACTTTTTTAGGAGAACTCTGGAATATTAAATACCTATATACTTCATAGCTTATTTTACATTTGCTTTGCCTGAAACCTTAAGAGTTGTCTCAAGGAAAGGTACTTGATCTTCACTCTGAAATTTTTATAAATGGTTTTTAGCTAAAGTAAGTATCTGAACTAAGTATTAGCTGGTGGCAGCTTAATACTTAGCTAATGTGATTTGATTAAACTAAATTTTATCATTTGTAATTTTTAAAAAACCCACTAGGAAAGTATAACATATGCGTGTTAAAGAACATTTGGGAAATGTAGAAATATTAGAGGAAAGAAAGTTAAACCTCACCGTATACTACCACGACTAAAATGCAGACACTGTACTATCTATGTCATACACGGGGAATATACAGCTCAAGATTTTTTTAGAGTTTTCATTTTCTTGAATACTACCTAACATAGAATTTCATTTGACACAGTAAAATATTAATGAAAAAGATAATCTTTTAGACCATTAGTGAGTGATTGCTTACTTTTTGAACAGTTTTTGCCAAGGTAAAGTACTCTTGTTTCACAAGTTAGTTTTTCTTATTTATTGAAATAGAATACTCTTTAATGTATTGAAGACTTTAATTTTTCTGGCTAATAACTTTCTTAGACATTTTTATTTATATCACCATTTCATATAGCACTGTAGATTCAGAATCATGGCTTAGCAAAATTACAGTCATGGATCTTTGTTGTTGCTTACATAGATTAAGCAAATGTTAAATCTGTAAATGACAAGGGTCTGCTGAATTTTCAGTCTTTTTCTTTCCTGTTATATTTGTAATGCACAGATTGAGATTTACAGAATGAAATTTAAGTAGAGATCATATATTCAATATGCTTGTGTCATGTCTTGTGTTGGAATATGAAACATTCAAAGTTAAAATGCAAACGGAATGTATAAACCCAAACGTATATATTTTGAGAGCAGGGGCAGACTTAGTAAGTAAACAGCTCATAAACATTGTCTACAGAATAAATCAGAATCAGCCTTGGTTTTTAGAAACAGTAGAATTTGTCTAGATTAAGACATGTCACAAGTCTGGTCTCAAAATTTATACTGTATTGTGTTTATTATAAATCATTCCCTATGTATTCTTTTCAAATAAATGTGGGCTTTTGAGCATGTGTTGAAATTTCATTTCCGTTCTGAGTATCCTTAACTTTGATCTGAAAACTATTAGATATATATTTTAGATATATTATTGGAAAACAAAATTTATCTTTTTGTCACACTTGGTTTAGATTGCATCTTTCTTCAGCAACAACGTGGACTACTTCATTGCTTCCCTGAGCTACGGGCCTAAGACAGCGAGTGGATTCATCAGTCCTCTCTCAGCTGAATGCATGCTGCAATACAAGAAAAAAGCTGCTGCCTATATGAAGGCTTTGAGAAAGGTTTGTGAGCTGCTGTTAACATTTAAATCAGAGCGAAAATCTGGAAAAATTCCAGAGAATGGCAGAAGTTTTCCCACAGTTCATATTGTTTAGGTTTTATACAATTTTGAGGGACAGGTGGTTGGTGGGTGTTGCGAGGTGGGCGGGGGTCTTTGGAGAGGAGGATGGGACAGAGACCTGAATCTCATTTCCTAGGCCGTATTAGACTTAACGTTTCCAGTGGCTGGTAGAGTGTTTAGGGTGAGACAGCCAGGCAGCCATTAAGTGTCAAACTTGAGAAAATCTTAAACTTGTAGAAATAAAAAATATTGAAATACATTTATAATTTTCTTCTCAATATAATAAGAATACATGATCATTGCAAAAAGAAATCCGAAGAAACAGAAGTACATGAAGAAGAAAATCCCACAACCCAAAGGTAGCTCCTCTTAACCATAAAATTTTAACGTGTATACATGCATGCACGCACACACACATTATAAAAAGCAATGTATCTGGATACATAGACTGTTTTAGAATCTGTTTTTTTCCTCTTTAATGCATTGTGGATATAACAAAAATATATATCTATAAGTATAAATTGCTATCATTTTAATGCATCTAGTATTTGATCTATAGTATTTCATTCTATAAGTGTGTGATAATTTAATTAAGCCATCCATTGCTAGTGGATTTTTAGGTTGCTTCCTATTTTTCACTGTTATATGCAATACTACAGGGGGTGTTCTTGCACATGCAACTTTGTGTATTTACCTTTCTCTCTTTATTTCTTTCTAACTTTTAGTTACACAATGCATAAATACATTCTTATATTACATGAGAACATTATAGGTAAATTACAATCCATAATTCCAGTTCCTCTCCAGAGGTAACTATAGTTATCAGTTTGGTGTGTAACCTTCCAGACTCTTTTGGAGCATTTGTACTCATCTCTGTAAACTTTGAACTATATGCAAAATATGAAGAATATAAAGACTTTTCTAATTTTTTTTAACTAAAATGCATGTTTCATTGTGTAGCTTCCTTTTTTCATTTAAAATGTGTTTTAGAGACCTGTCTGTATCAATAGATATGATGGCTACTTTATTCATTTTAAACACAGCATTGAAATCTATGATATAGGTATTCCGTGGTTCATTTAGGTAGTCTCTTTTTGGTGGGCATTTAGGTTGATTCCAGTTTTTCACTGTTAGAATTATACTGCAATGGATAGCTTTGTGAATGCCTCCTTGGGCATATGTGTGGATTACTGAGAGGTGCAATGTTCTGGATAATGTGGTTTTAAGTTTTAATATTTACTGCCAGATTACCCGTAAGAGTGGTTGTACACTCCTAGAAACGTATAAGACTACCTAATTGTTTTAATTATATCTTTATGATTAATTCCTAAAAATGGAATTGCTCATTCAAAGTCTGTGAATGTTTCAAAGGTTACCTTTTTATAGTTTACCAGCAATAGAAGTATAAATTTAACCCGTAAATTTAATTTGTCAATCTTAGAAACAAGAAGTTCCGTGTTATTGTTCTAATTTTCATTTCTTTGCTTGTTATTGAAATAGAACATCCTTTATAAATTTACTGTTTATATTATTTCAATTTCCTGTTCAAGTTGTTTACCTGTTTTTAAATAAATGTTCCTAATTGGGGTTGAAGGAGCTCTATGTTAAGGATTTTAGTCCTTTGTTTATGTCAGAAATATTTTTCCTCAGTTTGCTGTAATAATTTTTCAAAATTTAGAAGTTTTAATTTTTATATCATCAAACCAGGCTTTTTCTTTATGGTGGTGATTCTCAGGTGACTCTTGGAAAGTCAGTTCACCTATATTTTCTTCCAGTATTTTTGTGGTCTAAACTTTTTAGATTGAAATCTTCAGCCCATCTTGAATTTATTTATTCTGATATAGGTATGAAATTGGGGTCTAAATAGTTATTTTTCTAAATTATTAACTGATTGTCCTTGCATGACTTATCCTTTCTGCATTGACTTAAAAATGCAACATTTGTCACATAATACATTTTTGTATGTGCTTTTGTCTGTTTCTAGATTTTCTATGCCATTCCTTCATCTGTCTATTTTGGTGCAAGTCTTATGGTTTTAGATAGTGTCGCTTATAACCGGTATGACATGTTCCCCTTCATTCTTTTTCTTTTCTTTTTTTTTTAAAGTTCTTTTTTTATGTGTATTAAAGGAACTAGTCTATGTGGACATACATCTGAATTTTATTATCAAACCTCATTTAGCATTCTTATTTGTAAGATCAGGGAAATGATGTGACCTTTTTCTTTATTTCTTATGATGCTTTTTCCATAGCCCCTCTTGGAATCTGTGCCTTATGAAGAAGCACTGGCAAACCGCCGGGTCCTTCTCAGCTCTACTGAAAGTCGAGAAGGCCTTGCACAACAGGTATGGCATCGGGAAAATCATGGTACTTGTTAAAGAGCATGAATATAAAATCCCCTATAAAAGGTTTTCATACACATAGAGCAATTTAAAAGGCTATGTAAGTAAACATGTAAAGTTAATTAACACATGCTAAAAAGCACCATAAGCATAATTCATTGAAAACCATTTGTTGATACTCTAAATAAGTCATCCTGATTCAGTTGGTGTTATGATTGCCAATAAAGTAATATCAGCACACTCTGGCCATGCTGATTAATTATTTAGGTACTAGATTTAAATGTCTGAAATAATAAGGAAAAAAAGGGGGGTGTGGCTAGAGACTCAGTGAGTTATTTTTATTTCCTAAATGGACAGGAATGAAAAATTTCCAATGCTCAATTGATCAGTTGAATTTGGGTGGCAGGTGGAGGTAGGTGGTATTATTTTTTTCAGAAGTTGGTACAAACTGACCCCAGTTTAGCATTCACCAGAGATTTATTTACTTTAGCACCTGGCTTGCTTTAGTTTTGGAAAAATTTATTTTAAAGAGAGCACAAATTTATCTGAGACAGTTTTTGCCTATGCTGACCTTATTTTCATTGGACACATATCACTTATCTTTTCAACATTAATTCAATAGGATGTTGAAGCTAAAAATTTAATCCACATAATAATTCCTAAAAAACAAAACTCCTGAGACAAACAGTGAAATGTGGAGTATCTTAAAAATTTATTTTAGATTTCCTTCTTATTTTATGTGAGGAAAGTAAGGCTCAAAGAAATTAAACAGCTTTTATCCATAGTAGCTAGTAAGTAGCAGAATGGTCTGACTTCAGAGCTATTGCTTTTCCCACTCTGCCATTGACCAGCTGCAGGCTAGTCTGATAAACACTCCGGGTCTCACATCCTGCCTCTCTAAAGCGAGGATAATACCTACCTTTCAGGGTCCCGTAAGGATTAATTGAGCCAATGAGAGGCGGTGTGATAGGGTGAAAAGAATCAGACTTGTGAGCCAGACACATGAGGTCCCACATCCTGGCTCTGTTTGTTAGCTTTGCAGGTGGTCGAGCTGCTGGGACTTCAAGTTCTCCTCTTTGAGACGTGAGAATTGTAGGACTGTTAGGAGGCTTCAGTAGGATACTGGCAGGAAAATATCATGAACAGTGGTACGTGGTAATTGTTCAACGATGATAGTTGGTAAAGCATTTGGAATTCACTCTAAGATTGTTTTTATTTTTATTTAATTCTCAAGCTTTCATTTGCCTTGAAAATTAGCTTTTTTTAAGCTTCTTATTGAAGCATAACATACTTAAAGAAAAGTATATAAATTATTAATATATTTCAGTGAATTTTCATAAGTAAACACATTAATGTAACCGGTAGCTAGATAAAATTTTTTAAAAAGAATATATCTTTATGTAAGGTATATACCTGTAAAAAAAAGATTGCCAGGACCTCAGAAACTTTCCTCATGCCCCTTTCCAGTTACTACTCTCCTCTTTCCCCAGAGGTAACCATTATCCTGCATTCTTTGTTCTGTTGCCTGATACTGAACTTCATATTAAATGAGAATTATGTAGCATCTCTTTCAGATCTGGCTTCTTTTGTTCAACATTATATTTATAATAGTCATCCATGTTATGTGTAGTTGTAATTGGTCCATTTTCATTCCTGTTGAGTATTCTGTCGTGTGAAAATACATAATTTATTTATCCATTCTTACAGCTTATGACTATTTGGGTAGTTTTCAAGTGTTTGACTATCGTAGGGCTGCTATGGGCATTCTTATACTTGTCTTTTGATAAACATGCATGTTTTTCTCTTGGGCGTATACTTAGAAGTAGAATTGCTAAGTCATTGAATACAAGTTCAATTTTCAAAGATCCTGCCAAACAGTTTTCAAAGTGTTTGTCCCAAATTCCACTCCCCGAAGCATTATATGATAGTTCCAGTTGCTCCATAAACATGTCCATCTTTGTATTTTCTGTCTTTCATTTTAGTCATTTGGGTGGTTTTTTTTGTGTGTTTTGTTTTTATTCATTTGGGTGGTTTTAAATTGCTTTTCCTTGGTTAATAGTGACATTGGATACCTTCTTTTTTATGTTTATAGTAACGTTCAGGTGCCTATTCAAGTCTTCTTTTCTCCTGTTTCTCTATTGGGTTGACTGTCTTTTTATCATTGATTTATAGAAGTTCTTTATATGTTATGGGTATTAGTCCACTGTTGGATACATGCATCTACCACTTTGTGGCTTTCCTGTTTACTCTCTTTATTATACCTTGTGATAAATAGAGATTTTAAAAATTTCATTCTAGTTCAATTTCTCAATTTATGGTTGTGCTTTTTGTATCCTGTTTAATAAAACGTTCCCTCTTCCAGGATCAAGCTTTTTTGTTTTCACACCTGTGAAGTAGTTTTGGTCTACATTCCATAAAGTATTTTTTTTGGCTGGTAAGTTTTGTCTGCATCATCCTCTAAGGTGCAGAACTCTCTGTTGCTTTCAAGGTTCAGCAGAGTTTGGAGAAGATTTCTAAACTGGAGCAGGAAAAAGAACATTGGATGTTGGAAGCACAGTTAGCTAAAATCAAGCTGGAGAAAGAAAACCAGCGAACTGCAGATAAACTGAAGAGCACAAGTAGTGGGCAGGCGGTTGGGGTAGCCCAGGAAGGGGCCACCGTGGTGACCGCTGCGGGCCAGGAAGATGCGTCTGCCAAGGCTGTGCCGGTGCCCGTTCACAGCACTAGTTTGGTAAGTGTCTTCTTTTTTTAAATGGTAATTGGTGGGGATCCGTCTTAGTGTTCAGTGTTAACCATCTAAAGTACATGTCACTTGATAACAGGAATAATCCATGTGCTCTAGAAGAAGCAGATTGGTAAGCAGGATGCCCCCTTCAAAAAAGCAACCTTATTAAATTCTCTTTGATTTTACATGTGAGACTTCCCCACGGTAAGGGCTGTGTTCCTGGAGAAGATATAGTAAGTCAGATTTAAGATGATTCTGTTTCTCCACTGCAACATTGGTGATATGGGGGTTATGTTTCTGACAAAGGACTAACTGCCTAACTTTTTATAGAAATGACGACAAATACCATTTTTAACCAATTACGTGGTGTATTCCTAGGTAGTATAAAGCTTTATGACGTATGTATAATATAGAAACCCATCAGGTTAGCTAAACTTCATAAGACAATATACTGACAAGTTATTTTGCAACTTTATATTTCTTGCTTATATTTAATTGCAGTGATTTAGAAGGTGAAGAAACATCTCTGTTGGAATTATAAAATTCAGTTACATTGAGAAAAGTTTTCTGATTATATTTTTCTGCCCACTGTTAAAAAAAAATTAGAAAATCTAGAAAATGAGAAATCAGGAAGGGAAGGGAAAAAAACCCTCAAAATTAGAATGATCTCATTAAATATATTTTCGTTAGCATTTTTTGAGAAATTTAAGGAGAGCTATGGCACTTTTTGACAGCCCTGTCCTAAGGCTACCCCTGTAGCTCACTGATGCTTTTGAACAGCAAGTCATGGTCCTTCTCACATTTCCCTTGCATCTGATTCAGAGCATACCTGATAGTAATATATACAAATTAACTTCTGTTTTCAAGATGTGTACAGACCTCACTGCACCTCAACAGTGTGAGAAACGTGGATTATTATTAGTTTTCTTAGGTGTGATAATGATACTTTGATTATTTAGGAGAATACCTTTATTTTTTGGAGATAAATGCTAAAGTACTCAGGGTAAGGTATCATCATATCTGCAACTTACTCTCAGATTGTTCAGGAAATATATACACACACAGATAAATTAAGCAAATGAGCAAATTGTTAATTACTGAATGTAGATGGTGGCTACATATGATTATTATACTTTTTTTTCTCCAACTTTTCTATATGTTTGAAAATTTTCATAATAAAATGTAGGGGAGGAAAAAAGAATGAAAATGTTTTAGAAAAGTAAAAAACATAAAGCAGACTTCTCAGAGCAGTGATTTGAATGGCTGCTATGCTCACTGGATGATCCTATGTGACCCCTGATGGCAAGGCCGAGTCTCAGCCACAGGTGTTGCACATTGCCTCTGATAGGGGAAGGTGACTGCCTAGAAGAACATTTAACAAACAGAGCAGAATTCTGACATCAGTTCGGGTACCATCTGGGGAAGTGCAACGCTGCCAGCACTCATCTTTGGACTTCCCTTCAGAGTCCGTTTATTGATCAGGTCAGACTGTTCTCCATTGGGTCTGATTTCTTCTTTCTCCTGTCTTCTCTCCCTGCTTCCCTGCATCTGCTCCTTCCGTTTTCTCCCATTTGCACTAACAGTAATTGGTGCTGGCAGGGAGTAACTATGGGAGCAGACCAGGGAGGGCACTGATGACAGTGATAGTAATTGCAGTAATCATATGCCAGCCACGGTTCTAAGGACTTTTCAGTGTGTTAACTCAGTCAGTCCTCACACAGATCCTATGAGATTGCAGGTACTATCATATCTTCATTTTATAGATGAGGAAACTGGTGGACAGAGAGGTAGAGTAACTCATCTGAAGTCACACACTTGGTAAGTGATGGATCTAGGGTTCAAACCCAGAACATCTAGGTCCACACCCTGTCCTTTTAATCAACATGGCCTTTTGCTCTGATGGGTGTCAGAAAATAGATCAGCGGACAAACGTATTTGTTTATGGCTTGCGTTTCTGAAGTACTGGAAGTTGGCAACACTGGTGTATTTGAGTCATTAATGTCAGTTGCTGAAAGTTGAGGACTGTCTTTTTATTTGAACATTTTCAAAGGAGAGCACAGTATTCTTACATATGTAAGTGAGAAAGATTTCCAGGGACATGGGAAACCTTTAGTACCAAACACTATTGGTCTGTGAGTGATGATGACTTTATTTGGGCTTGGTGAGTTTGGAAGTTGCTATAACTTTAAGTTGTCTGTCTGGTTAGCATGTGTGTGCTATTTCTGTCTGCATCTGTTAAGGATCTCTTTCCTCCCACCCACTTCATAAGGTGCTAGAAGAGTAATTTTCCTAGAGTATGTTACTGATTATGCACTCTATTGCTTCTAGACTTTTAGTGGCTCCCTATTATCTATAGGATATAGTCCACTCATTAGTTTGGCATTCAAGGTCTGTGAACACCTATTCCAAACTACCTTTCTTCAGCATTTCCCTGTACAAACTCAAACCGAGCTTTCTTTCCTGATAACGTTTTTTTGTGTTTTTGCTTCCCTGTATTGTTCAAGCTGTTTCTTTTGCCTGGATGCGTATTTATTCATAACTCCTGTCACCTACATACTCAAATACTTTGCCTTCCAACTCCTCGACTTTCTTGAATTCAAAACTCTTCCCATCATTAAGATACAGTTGAGTTGCCACATTTTCCATGAACCCCAGTTTTGGGCATTGTCTTTGACAGTCAGGATCAGAGAACCAAGACCTTGTTGGCCTCCTTGCATTTTTCACAGTCTAGTCTATATGGTGAATGTATTCCCGTCCCTTGGTTGCTTTCAGTCTAATGGAATGAGAGCCTGGATAGACATCTGTCCAGAGTGCTGGGAGATGACAGAGAAGTTGCCTGGAGGGCTTGGGGAGGGCATCCCAAAGGAGGTAACATGGGTGGGTTTCATAAATGAGCAGGAGGCCGAGGCAGGAGAAGAGTATTTCAGGCTGAGAGAAGGGTCTCCCCACATAATTCACTTTCTCTCCTGCACGTGGCAGATTCCTGCTGAAAATAACCTGGAGACAATAGAGAGAAAAAGGGAGGCTTTTTTTTTTTTTTGCCTTCCCTGATGTTTCCTTTTCAGCCTTTCTTTTTATCACCCCACCGCCCCCCCAACCTCCCATCCTGCCTTAAGTCAAGTTAAGTGAACTGAGTGTGTGTGTCTCCTTCTGTTGTCTTCCTCTTGGGTGTTGGAACAAAGTCTATGCCCATTTTAAAGTTAATTGACTAACAAAGGAAACGCAAAAGTCCCCAGAAGATTCCTTTGGTTCAAGCACTTTGGGGCTGAAAAAGTTACATCAGATAGAAACTTCTTATTTCTAACCCTATAGCATTGCAAAAGTTAAATGTTTATTATGTTTAATTAACATATCTAGGACTGTAATTTGAACATTCAGCCCCCTGTTAATTATTGTAATAAAAGGTAGGGACTTCTCTGGTGCCGGAGTGGTTAAGAATCTGCCTGCCGGGCTTCCCTGGTGGCGCAGTGGTTGAGAGCCCGCCTGCCAATGCAGGGGACACGGGTTCGTGCCCCGGTCCGGGAAGATCCCACATGCTGCGGAGCGGCTGGGCCCGTGAGCCGTGGCCGCTGAGCCTGCGCGTCCGGAGCCTGTGCTCCGCAGCGGGAGAGGCCAAAACAGTGAGAGGCCCGCGTACCGCAAAAACACACACACACAAACACACACACACAAAGAATCTGCCTGACAATGCAGGGGTCACAGGTTCGATCCCTGGTCCGGGAAGATCCCACACGCCATGGAGCAGCTAAGCCCGTGCACCACAACTACTGAGCCTGCGCTCTAGAGCCCGCGAGCCACAACTACTGAGGCCCGCGTACCTAGAGCCCGTGCTCTGCAACAAGAGAAGCCACCACAATGAAGAGTAGCCCCGCTCGCCGCAACTAGAGAAAGCCCATGCACAGCAAAGAAGACACAACGCAGCCAAAAAAAAGGATGGCAGTAACCTCAAGAAAGAAAAAGCACAGAAAACTACAAGTTTTCATGTTTTTTTTTGCTGAAATTAAAATGCACTGCTTAGGGCTTCCCTGGTGGCGCAGTGGTTGAGAGCCTGCCTGCCAATGCAGGCGACACGGGTTCGTGCCCCGGTCCGGAAAGATCCCACATGCTGCGGAGCGGCTAGGCCTGTGAGCCATGGCCGCTGAGCCTGCGTGTCTGGAGCCTGTGCTCTGCAACGGGAGAGACCACAACAGTGAGAGGCCCGCATACTGCAAAAAAAAAAAAAAAAAAAACACTGCTTAAATTCAAAAAAATTTAAAAAAAATATATATTTCAAGTATAAAAACAATACATGTACGTTGTAGATAATTTAAAAATACAGAAGAGTAAAAGAAGAAAAAAATGTTGACATTTTCCTGAATACCCAACAACCACTGTTAACATTTTTTTCTACAAAATTTCATACTTGGTTGACATTATACTATATAAAATTTAAAATCTTTTAGCATAACATTAATAAACATTTATCCTGTTATTAGAAACTCTATGTAAACTTAGTTATTGATTCCGTAGTATTCTATATAGAATATACCTTAGTTTGCCTATGACATTGGTTATAATTTTTATTATTTTAAATAACATCTCATTTTTATGCATAAGATTCTTTCTGCATCCAGATGATTTCTTTGGGGTATATTCTCAGGGTTAGAGTTATTGGGTCAAAAGCCATGAATGTTTTTAAGTTCCTTGATCTCTACTGCCAAATTATTTTCTCAGAGGACTGTATTAAACTCTCATCAGCGGCATATGAGTAAATGCTGAAATTATAAATTTCGCAACCTTTTCTTGAAGTTATATGATTCCATTCCTTTTCAGGACTGTTTGCTGTACCACATAACCCAGGAGTAAAGGGGATAAGGGGTAGATCCCATGCTTGTGATTTATTTTGCCAAATGTACTCATATTTGAATGTATAAAATTAAAATGATGAGTGTGTTACTGTAAACGGTTTTTCACTGAAAGACTAATTGCTATTCCTGCTTTAGTGTGTAGAAAATTATGGCTCCTCTATTAAAAAAGGTCTTATAAAAAAGTTCCTTTTACAGCTAGGTGGGCATAACATTCACATACTGCTCACAGTTCAGAGTAGTACTCTTGAGAATATTATTTAGAATCCATGAAAACTGTTTGTTGGGTGTCATCTCTGATTAACAGAATCCATCAAAACTGAGTTTCCAATAGTTTCCTTAACTTACTGAGCCCAAGCACATGCCCTTCCACTTTGAACAATAAAATGAATTCAAGAACCATGACTACTATCTGTTTTTGAACTCTGAATCCACAAAAGCAAGCTTTAAAAAACGTGGCGGCAGTTCAGTATGTCTATAATACATATACTTTTTCATTAGTTTAAATCTGAAGTTAATACTTGTTAATGTCATAATGATATTTCTTCTTTATCCTTTTGACCTTTCAGCCAGAGAGTTTGCTATTTGTGTTTTGCGTTTGGAATGTTTAGTTATTATGGTCACCATGAAACTGTCTTTAGGTCTCTTTGGCCGCTGCTTTGGAAATAAGCGTAGCAATGACAAGAAGAGTTAAAAACTGTTCTTCCGCTCTCTCTTCCCAGACAGTTTGTTGGGTTTCAGTGAAAACGGCTAACAACATTCTGATAGAGGAAATAGTGATGGTCACTATCCATTACTGCCTCATGACAGAAATCATGACTGTGGTTACTTATCTGTAGGTCCAGCTTCTTTGTGTTGAAAGATGATTGATTTGAGGGTAATTGTCTAGAACTCCACTGCTAGTGTGCTTGGTTTTTTGTTGCTGTTGTTGTTTTGTTTTATTTTTTTTTAATGTTGCTTATTTTATTTTTTTATTTTACTTTTTTGGCCATGCCATGTAGCCTGTGGGATCTTAGTTCCCCAACCAGGGATCGAACCCCAGGCCCACAGCAGTGAAAGCTCTGAGTCCTAATCACTGGACTGCCAGGGAATTCCCACAAGTGTGCTTTGAAACAGTGTGAACTGAGAAGAGAAAAACTTTACAAGTGTTTAAGCTATTGCGTTTGAAGTGTAAGCAATCTGTTCTAAAGCTTTTTTCCCTTATGTTCTAGATTGGGATTTTAACCAGGACGTCTGACAGTGAGGTAATGTGTGCTTAACATCATGTTGTTTGTTAGTAAACATCTTGCCACATGTTTGTTAACAAAATCCGGCAAAAGTCAGCTTCATCTAATTGCGTTTCTGACAATTCTAGCAAATGTGGATCCATGTTGCTTTTCTCTCTGGGTCAGTTTTAACTGTCACCAATAAATTACAGCCTGTCTGTAATTGTCTCCTTGAATGACTTGACTTGGCAGTTTGACAAGCTCTGTGGCATGTGGCAGGAGGCTGCGAGCCATTACCCTCCCAGTGGGCCAGCTGGCGAAGCAGGGCTTTTCAGGGCCTTGACCATCAGTGGGCTTGGTAGTTCTTTTCAGCCCTCAAGTGACTGAACCCAGGTCAGATTTGGCTTGTCAGATAGGTTTGCACATTTTAGTTTTGAAATATTACAAGATTTTGAAATATTACAGATATTACAAGCTCACAAATAACCATTAAAAGAACACTGAAGTCACTCAGCTTTCCAGTCAGTATGGTAAACTGGTAAATATAGTTCAAGTAAATTCTTTGATTTCCTTATTAGCCTTATACTTTAGGTAACCTTGAACTTCTGCATATATTTTTAAACTAAACTGAGTGGTGTGTTATTGCTAGAGTGACTAGTAGAAATCTAGTCTGGGACAAGGGCCATAAATTGTTCATTATAGAAATAGTTTAATTTGTTAGTATGTTTAAGAGTATAAGAGCTTTTTTAAGATAATTTGGGGGAGAAAAGAATGTTCAGATTTTTAGGAGTTCCAATAAATGCTCCCCTTTCACCTGTTCTCTTCCAGTTAGAGGAGGACGTAGAAGTCAGACAGATTGAGATTTTGAAAATTAGGTGTGTGGCAAATAAAAACTGAGTGGAGAGACATGACCCCATGGGTGGTGGGCGTCCCAAGACTTCACTTCTGCTTTGTTCTCTTGAAGCCTCAGCTTCATTGTGAGATAGGCAGGTGCTGAATAAAAGAAATTTGCAATATATATTTACCTGCCCTGTCTGAAGTTTCTCCGAGGGGTGGGAAAACTATGATTTCCCATCAAATTTCAAAGGAAAATGTAGGAAATGTCTTTTTTTTTTTTTTTTTTTGCTAAAGTGATATTAATTTTGTTTTTTTTCCTCTCTCTCTCTCTCTCTCTCAGAACTGCTTCATTCCACTGGCATTTATTTATTGAGTTATGTGTGCTCTGTTTAGGCTCCAGATGTGGAATCTCGGGAAGACTTAATTAGAAATCACTACATGGCAAGGATAGTGGAACTGACGTCTCAGCTGCAGCTGGCTGATAGCAAGTCAGTGCATTTTTATGCTGAGGTGAGTGGAGAGTTAATTGGATCAGGTGGATTTTTCTAACCCTTTCAGGAATTAGGTCACTGTCCTGGCCTCCTGCTGTTCACTAGAAGAGAGAGGTCAGAGTCTGTGTGTCTGCAATATGGATTTGGTTAGAGTTCGTATAGATTGGTCCACATACCAACCAAAAATCTTTATTGCAGTGAATATAACAGGTAGCCTTTCTTATGGTTATGTAGCATGTTTTGGAGCATTATAATTATAGATTATAATCTTGTTTTAGAAAGTTATAGGCAGGTAACATTCATAGATCAAGGAATTTTCGTTTAGGGAAATTCAAAGCAAAGTATGCCTGGTTCTTTTTTTTTTTTTTTTTAATACTCTCTTATTTCTAATGACAACTTGTGGAAATCAGTTTTTGTAAATGATAAAATGCAAAATGTAACCTCTTTCAACCTTTAAAAAATACAAAATCTTTCTTTTTGTTACATTTTCTTCTTCCCTCACCAAATAATTCATTTTCTTAAGAGGATTAGAAAAACACTATGCAAGATAATAAAATTATACAAATTCATTGATAAGAAGGGGAGAAAATGAAGGAAGAAATTACAGATATCAAAGAGTGAGAAACAAATGATAAGATAGACTGGATGTCGCTCAATATATAAGAATACCTGTAAGGTCTCTGACGGGAAACTTTTTATTAAAAGGTTAGTTATAGATGTTAGACGGAGAATTATAATGCTTTAAACTGTGAAGGAAATTGACAAAGGAAAGACAACACCCTTCATTGGGATGCGACTTTGTGATTTTCTCCTGTTTTACAGAGACGGAGAAGAGTTGATAGGAATCCAGTTGCTAGGAGTGGAGGGGGGCTTTGCTTCTTTCCTCCTGCTGAAATAAATGATGTGCCTAGCTTAGTGATGCATACCTGTTTGATAAGATGATCAGTAGTGATGGCTGTTGAGCTGTAGAAAACGGGGAGGACGGCAAGGTGGACGACTCACCATAGAACTGCTGCAGTGCTTACCATCCCAGCCACTCAGTGCACGCAGCACATCATGGTGGCCTGGTTTGGATCCCTAACTGCCTTCTGA